ACTCCTCTTGGACCAGGTTATCAGCAGTAGGGAAAGCTGAAATCACTCAACAGCAGTTGTGCAATCAGAGGCAGAGAGGCTCAGAGGCATTGCTTCAGCTCTCTGTACAAACCCTCTGCCAAAATTCAGCCTCCTAAACCAACTGCTCTCCAGTGAAAGGCTTTGTGTTAGTGGTAAAACAAGTGGGATGTTTTCTCCCCAAAAAGCTATCATAGCCTTGTCCACCAACAGAAACAGAGCTCATTCTGAGAAATGCCTCCCCTGGGTATGAGACAAGCATCACTTCAGGTACCTGCAAAATCTAAACCCCTTGCAAGCGTGGGCGATGAACCTTCTATCCTCACCAGACCTGTCCCAGGATGAGGCAACAGGAATTTCCAAAGAGAGAAACTTTGAGATCCTCAAGCAACTCAGGGAATACACAGCTGTGCTCTCGGCAGAACCACAGCAAACAGCTTCATTCCCTCATCAGACAGTGGCAAAGCTCTTCGAGAACCACCAAAATACAGAGTGTAGGAGCTGCAAGCATTCACAGGCTTCTTAAAGCACCTGAGAGATCCTTGTGTCTTCACGGCTGACTTCTGAGCTGTGTGAGGTTGCTGCTGGCTTCAGGCACAGGCTTCTGGCAGCTGGCAAACCTGGTACATGTGGTGAAGGGGCATGGCAGGACTTCTGGACTGAATCCCTGCTATGTGCTCCCCCCAGCAACAACAGATGCAAACACGAGCGAGGGGAACACCCTGGGCAGAGATAAACCCCTGTGGTCTCAGAGCCAGCGAGGTGCCCCCCAGCAGGAAGCAGGAGACAAGTCACTGCTTGGCTATTTTCACATCTCCAGAACTGCCACCTCTGTGTCAAGGCAGCTGGGCTCGATAAATCCACCCAGCCAGAGGTGAGCACACTCCCTATGAGATTTGAGGAGGGATGCTCCATTCCAGCGCTACCTGCTCCTCTCCAGGACATGGGGGCACTAAACCATCCCCAAACCTATCCTCCCTCACCACGCTGGAGAAGCAGAGATGTTGCATGGGTGTTGCTCAGGCAGCAGGGCAGGCTGCAAAGGCATTTCAGTGGTACAAATCTGAGCTGGAGACAGGCAGAGAAGGCACAGCATCAATTCACTGAGAGGGAAGTGGAAACCTTCCCGAAGGCATGCACAAACGCAGCAGAGCCAGGGCTTTTGGCAAGAGCTCCTGCAACATCAGCAAAAACCATGGCTCCACCTGATTGGCATGCACCAGGGATCAGCTGCTCTGGGGTTCATGGGAATGTGTGTCCTTCAAAGCCAGTAGGAAAGCTTGAAAAGCAGAGGAGAGCCCCAAAATCCTGGATTCTGATCTCTTCTGGTCTTATATTGAGCTCCTGAGTTGCCAACAGTAAGTGTTGTTTGAGGAAGTCGCATTTTCCCCACCTAATCACAGGGAGGACAGCAGTAAACCTCTCTAGAATACAAAACACTTACACTACCAGCTTTACCATGGACCAGGTCACTTGTGGTAGGTTCTAGCTATCAGGAGATGGCTGGCCAGAGATGGGTATGAAGCTGCTGGCATTTCTCACATGCTTATCAAGGTAAGAGTTCAGCTGGGAAGCACCAGGAGGCAGCTCTCACCCCACTGCTGCCACGCACAGTAGCATCTCCTAGAAGAAAACAAGCACTTGAGTGAACAAGGGAGAGGATGCACAGAAAGGGGTGACTCCACATTGAGTCATAACGTGTCCATTTCCAGCCTTCTGCCTCAATAAAGCCCTAATCCTTTAAAAACCTTAAGGGTTAGGCACCAGTTTGCTCAGTAACTTGTGGTGGAGCACAGCTCAGGGCAGGAAGCAGCGTGAGGGAGCACTGGATGGGAAAGGGGAAAAGAAGCAGTCACAAGGCAAAAGGAATGAGCCCGCAGCACCACTGTCCATGTGGGCAGAAAGCAAAACCCTCTGAATTAACTTACATCTGCCAGAGAGGACAAGCTCTGGATGGGAAATCAACACCATGCTCACAGTGTCCTTGGATGCATGTTGGAACTGATGCAGGGACCCCCCTCACCAGTGCTAATGTTTCCTGACCTCTCCTGAAACCAAAAGCAGAAGCCTCTGACAGGTCTCCAGCTGGAGGGGCAAATTTTGTTCAAATTGGATGTTTTGCCTCTCTCTTTGCAGAGCCCTGACCTCAGACCTCTGCTCTTGCACCTCCACAGTCAACAGCACCATCACCACTGATCTCTGAGGTACAGGTGAAGTACAGGAATGGTCCAGATGTTGTGTACCACAGAGAACCCCTCTGGTTTGTAACTTCCCTCTCCAAGCAGGTTTGTGACCCCACCTTTTCTAGCTGGGTTCCATCCCTCAGCTATTTCTAGGAAAATAAGAGAGAAACAGTCCTGGTTACTGAGGCTCAAGGGTTCACTTGGAACGAAAGCCCTTTTGCTGCTGTTGATTCATACAGAGCTCACCCAGTGCTTGTGCTCTGAGCCCACTCCTGAATTCAGAGGTGCTCTGTGGAACCTGAAGCTGCACCCAGGTAAAGTCACAGCCACAGGGCTCTGTGGCACAGACCCTGCTCCTCATTGCCTTCCCTGTCTGAGGCAGAGGGAAGCTGACCAGTGTCTGCATGTTTTCCCCTGGGCCACTCACTCAAATGAGGCATTTTTTCTGTGGCTGCTACTCAAAGCCTGACACCATAACCAGGAACCTCAGCCTTCAGTGGGGGTTTGTCCCAGTTTAACCAGTCTCGAGGTGAGGTTTAGTCCTGGCTGACTTCTAAAGTAACATTTAACTTGTAGCCCACAGGCTGAGAGTCCACAAACTCCTCTGAGTCTGAAACTGAGGAGTGAAAACCCTATTATCATCCGGCCAAAAAGTGGTGCGGAGGCGTGACCATCACCACAAACACACCCAAACCCTCTGCTGCACCACTCCAACCTGTCACAGTGGTGAAAGTAAGGAGTGAGCAACCTACACAGTGAGGAAGCTTCTGAAATGAGAGCAGAGATACTCTGAAACCTCCTCCATGCCCCATGGTGCAATCCCAGCCACAAGGAGTTACTCAAGAGGGACCCAGAGGTAGGGAGAGGAGCATGAATGAGAACATGATTTCCCAGCACGTGTGTGTACCTCCTCCCCTCACCTACTGCCTTACTGTTCCCAATGACATGGAGTGAACAGAGAAACACCAGGGTCTTGAGGGCTGAGCCTAGAGGCAAGTGCTGTGAAAAATCAGTGGCTCCAGAGCTGAAGAGAGGCACTGTCCCTGAGGAAGAACTGCATCCTGGGGTAAAACCAGGGATGTGCCAGCACTGGACTTTCACCATGTGCTTGAGCTCCAGTGGGATGGTGTAAGGAAGTCCATCAGCATGAAGCTTCACGGAGGTCCCTGCATTTCCCTGAGCTTCCTTGCTCTGAAGAAAAAAGCCAAAGAGGCAGGACTGGAAAAGCCCCAGATCCCTCTTCACCACTGGACCAAGGCAGGAGGTGGCAGGGATCGAGGCAGAGGAGTGCTGGCAGAGCTGTAGAGTCCTGTTCAAGTACAATAATCATTAAAATAAACAACATGCTGGTTCTATAGCATTTCCAACAGGGATCCTCCAAGGTTTTTCTGAATGGAAGGAAGTGATGTGCAACAAATCCTATATGCTTGCAGTATGTTTTCATACAGATGGGGAAACTGAGGCAGTAGCTCTGCAGAGCATCGTAACAGAGCTTGGAGCAGGCTGAACATCCACTGATTTCCAGGTAGATGCAAGAGTATCCTGAGTTTCCAGAGGACAGAAAGGTGAGAGAGCAGAGGGCAGAGTCACCCATGGAAGAAAAGAAGGCAGCTGGGAGAGGTTTGCACATTGCACATCCATCCTGCATCCCAGAGGCAATGTCAGGCCACCCCTTTCATAACAGTGCTGCGAATCCACTGGTGATGGTCTTCATAGGACCATGTCAGGACACGCTGCAGACCACAGGAAAACTCCTATTCCGTAAGGCGGTGGGAACCCAACAACCACACAAATGTCAGCGAGCCCAGAGAAACTTCCCTGCTCCAAAAACTCGGGATGAAAACAAACAAGACACCCCCCCTGCCTCCTTTACCTCCTCCAACAGAGCTCCAATCCCTTCTCCAGGAATGCTGGAGCTCACACGTGGAGCAGGCAGGACACACACTCCAACCCAGACCCCTCCAACTCACTCCTGCAACCACCCAAAGAGACTGCAGCATCCTGGGCCCCTCCGTGCATGCAGACACTTCCCACCAAAGGGAAAGGCTTTAGGAAACGCTCCCACCAGCAGCAGACGCCGAGGGGCAAGGAGCAGGCCAGGGTAGGATGGGGTAGGACAGCACACACCTTCAGAGCCCTTGTTTTGAGGGCGCAGCCCAGCCCATGGGTATGACCCGCACATCCCCTGTGTCCATAGGGAAAAGATTCCAGGTCCTGCCCCTCCAAGGCATATCCCTGGCTGGAGGGAGCCCCCCTTGGCAGAGGGTTTCAGGCTGGACTCGTCCAGATCCCCCCCAGTGAACAGGCAAAGGGATCCCAGCGGCATCCCCACAGCCCCAGCCACAGGAGAAAGAAACCCATTGACAAGGGGGAACCCCAGGGGGAACCCCAGGATATCCCAACCAGCAGAGACGGAAGCTCCCAGGGGAGACCCCGGCAGTGTCCCTTTGGCAGGGTGCACCGGCGGTGACCCCACATTGTGGGGTGCCCCATGGCACCAGCAGTGAGGATGCCTCCATCCCTGACGGTTTCCCCAGCCTCTGGCAGGGGTGTCCTTGACCCCGTGCTCCTATCCCAAAGCATCCCCCAATGTCTTGGGGTGTCCCCAGGCCCCTACATATGGGGTCTGTGGGAGGGGGGTCCCAAGGTACTCACCTTCAGCCCCACATACCCGGGTGTCCCAGGGGTGTCCCCAGCCCCACAGCCATAGCAAAGCGAAGGGGGGTGTCTCAGCCCCACGGCCCCCCCTCGGAGCGGGGGGAAGGTGCCTCCATGGCCCCACAGCCTCCCGCCGCTCACCTTCTTGACGGAGAGGGAGATGTTCTCCAGGATGCGATCCTTCACCTCAGCCGGCTCCATGGCGGGGCCTCCCGCCCGCCTCCTCGCCCGACCGGCGGAGGCCGAATGCCGCCCTCCTCGCCGGGCCCTGTCGCCTCCCCGCCGCCGCCGTGCCCCGCCGGCCGGCTCCGTGCTGCCGGTTGGCCCGGCCCGGCCCCCGGCCCGGCTGCGGGGTAGGGGCCGTGGCTGTTGTTCAACGCGCCATGGCCTCACCGGGGCCTCCAGCGGGGAGGAAGGAGCGGAGCCGGGCAACGATCGTGACAGGCGCCGCGCTCCGGCAGGAACTGAGGTAAAACGGGAACGGGAACTAGAATGGGAACGGGAATAACGCTGCTTGCCCGCCCCCGGCACCGGGACCGCCCCGTCCCGGCGGTAATGGCGGCCGCGGGGATACACTGAGGGGTGGGGGCAAAATGGCGGCGGGTCCCTCAAGGGGCAGCGAGGGGAGATGGCGGTCGTTGAGGGAGCATGGGAGGGGGCATTGGTGTCAGTGAACCCCAGCCTGGTTTGGGGTGGAAGGGACCTTAAAGCTCCTCCAGCTCCAACCCCTGCCTACGGCTGGAGGAGCTTTAAGGTAGGTCCCTTTGGATGGAAGACATCGTTTGGGACTCATGGCCCAGTGAGAGGACACAAGGGGACATGGCGCTGGGTCCTTCACGCTCCCCTGAGGGGACAGAAAGGGACAACAATGGTTGCTGAGAGGACACCAGGCCCTCTTAACCAGGGCCTACCTATGGCTCTGCTGCTCTTTGGGGTGCTGGCAGCGCCCAGTCTCAAAGGAGGGATGCTCAATGGTGAAATGAGGGGGGTGCAAATGGCATCCCATCACCTTGGGCTTCAGCAGTGCTTCCTCTGGTCCCAGCAACCTCAAGCTGGAGACTGCTAAGGTTTATGTGAGAAGAGAAGCTGTGTGGAGACCTCAGAGCAGCTTCCAGTGTCTGAAGGGGGGCTATAGGGATGCTGGAGATGGACTCTTCATTAGGGACTGCAGTGACAGGAAAAGGGGTAACAGGTTCAAACTGAAACAGGGGAAGTTTAGATTGGATATAAGGAAGAAGTTCTCACCGTAAGGGTGGTGAGGCACTGGAATGGGTGCCCAAGGAAGTTGTGATTGCTCCATTCCTGGCAGTGTTCAAGGCCAGGTTGGACAGAGCCTTGGTTGCCCTGGTTTAGTGTGAGGTGTCCCTGCCCATGGCAGGGGGTTGGAACTGGATGATCTTAAGGCCCTTTCCAACCCAAACCATTCTATGATTCTGTGTGCTTGGTGGGACAGCACCTTGGAGCCAGCAATGGGGCAGGTAAGTGTGGCTCAAGCCCAAACCTCCAACAGTGGGAAAAGGTCCTTAAAACCCCACTCAGCATCACAGGACAGAGGCAGGAGGTAGTGGAGAGGCTTAACAGAGGTGCTTTAGGAACTAAAAGAGAATAATAAACTCACCTCCTTGCCCAATGTGAAAGGCCCCGGTGGGGACTTGGGGCTGCAACTGACAATGGAACTGAAAGTAAAAGCAATTCAAACAGGAAGAGCTGTCAGGAATGTTCCCTGCGCCATTCCCACCCCTTCCCCTGTAACTAACCTGTTGGAAGGGAAGGGCTGAGCAAGGACCTGGGTGGAGAAAACACACCAGACCAAGCCTGCTCTCACCCTGCAGCTGCAGAACAGCCCAGCCAGTTCAACAGCTTTGGAGAGCCTGGTTGGAACTCCCAGGGAAGGGATGAGCGCGGCTCCTTGGTGCCTGGGTTAAAACTGAGCCAAACCATGCAAATCCTCTTTGCTCCCGTCCCCAGCAGCAGCTGGAGAAGCAGGAGCGTTGTGCTGAGCTGCCAGCAAGGATCAGGGCTTGTGTAGGCACCGAGGGAAGGTAAAACTGCTGCTGAGCTGGGGGGCAGGAAACATCCCCACTACGATGCACACACAGTGGCTCAGGAGCTGTCCTGAGCATGAAGCATTCAAGCCTCATCCCTAACAAGTCACTGTAGAGACAAAGTCAGCCCCTTTTCGAGAAGCCCATCAGATCCAGTGCGTTGGTTTATTCTCCACTGGTGACTTTTAGGATTTATATTCAGGAGGTAAAGAAAAGCTGCACAGCACCAGCCAGCTGGTCGGTGCATCTGGTTGCATTCCCCATTGCTCTGGAGGAACCAGATGCAGGGTATCCACCTCTATAATCCCAAGGTGCAGCAGACTTCCTGGTCTCCTACAGCTTTCCTGGATGTTTTCAATGCCCCAAGTCTTTTAGTCCAAGTAAAACAAGTTGTTTGCAATCCCTTAAAGCACCCACCACACAATTACAGATCGACAATTCCCTGCTCCCAGCACTGAAAGATAGCTCCCAGTCTCCTTGGATAAGCACAGGAGGCACCATTCCACCCCCACCACATGCTACTGCTTCCTGCCCTCCTCCCAAGAGATGTCTAACTCTTTGCTCTGTATTTACAGCTCAAAGCCAGCATGGAAGATGACCCATAAAGAGAGGAGCCATCAAGGCACGAATGGATAGCAATGGACTTGGAGTCACTGGGGTGGATCTCATCCGCTGCAGCAGTGTTTATTACGTGCAAGATCCCATCCTTGTGAGAGCCACACTTCACTGCGCAGTGCAGTGGTGTTGTCAGTGATCCAGAAAGAAAATAGAGGCACAAGGAACATTTTGGGAGGTAGCAGTATAGGTGTAGGCAGGAAAAACGAATAGTATTAGGAAAAAGCAAGGAAGAAACCATAGCCTTATCAGGCTAAGAAAGCAAAGGGACTGAGAACAGATTCCTTTGGCAGATGCTGTTGTGAGGGATTTCAGCCACCAACCCCTTACCTTGTCTGCATGACTCAGTGCTGTGTGGGCAACCGTGACAGCACCCTGTAATTAGCAAACTTGTCTGTTAAAGGCACTTAGGTCGCAGTGATTACTCTTCCCAGGGGGCCCTTCACACCCGGGAAAGAAGAGGCAGAGCAGATAATCGATGTAAGGCCAAGAGGAAACCAAAAGCCAGGCTGGACAGAATTTTCCAAATCCCATTCTAGCGACAAACCTGCCCCCAAAAGTGGTGCATTTGGCAAAGCAGCACCAGGCACATGCTATAACCAAGAGAAGCAAGTGAGTAGCACTGAGGAATGTGTGAGTGATGGCTCAGTCATGTTTCTTCCGTTGACCATTCTCTCTCTGAAATACTCAGGTGCAGGAAGTCAAATGATACAACAGTCACCCCTCTGCATCCGGCTCCTGCTCTTAATGCAGCCTCTGTGCCCACCTGACTAACCAAAACCCTGTGTTTGTCATCACAGGATCCCAATCTGATTTGGGCTGAAGGGACCTTAAAGCTCCTCCAGCTCCAACCCCTGCCACGGGCAGGGACCCCTTCCACTGGAGCAGCTTGCTCCAAGCCCCTGTGTCCAACCTGGCCTTGAGCACTGCCAGGGATGGGGCAGCCACAGCTTCTCTGGGCACCCTGTGCCAGCGCCTCAGCACCCTCACAGGGAAGAGCTTCTGCCTAAGAGCTCAGCTCAGTCTCCCCTCGGGCAGGTTCAAGCCATTCCCCTTGCCCTGTCCCTACAGGCCCTTGTCCCAAGCCCCTCTCCAGCTTTCCTGCAGCCCCTTTAGGCACTGGAGCTGTTCTAAGGTCTCCCCTTCAGGAGTCTTCTCCAGGCTGCTCCAGCCCAGCTCTCTCAGCCTGGCTCCAGAGCAGAGCTGCTCCAGCCCTTGCAGCATCTCTGTGACCTCCTCTGGCCTCATTCCAAAAGCTCCATGTTCTCGTGTGCTGGGGACTCTTTGGGGAGTCCCTTGCCCTACTCCTAAAGCACCCATGAAAGACAACCAAGGGAAGCACAGCACCTTGCAATAACCTTTACATTTATTACATAGGGGCTGAACCTCTCTTGGCCATGTAAGGGGCATTCAGAAAGTGCCAATGCCTCAATTCAGACAGGCTGGGACAATCCCAAATGGGAACAGAACTGTGACAGTGGTTAATCTGCACTTACCCACAGCACCAGAAGAAAACCATCTTCATAGAATCATAGAATAGTTGGGGTTGGAAAGGACCTTAAGATCATCCAGTTCCAACTCCCCTGCCATGGACAGGGACACCTCATGCTTTAAACCATGTAATCCAGGGCTCTGAAGCAGAATGGACAAGGCCCAAGTGCTCCAAATAGTTTTTAAGGGAAGCATTCAGTCCTTAGATCGTTTCCCAGCAGAAGAAACCATCACCAACATTTTGGACAATGTATGAACAGGCTTGTAGCAGCACACACATTAAAGCCTTCCCTTTTCCCACCCCAAGACCAGAATGAAAACATAGTTTTGCCCTCATAATTAATATCCGCCTTAATGATGTAACTTAGCTGACACCAGCATCACGTGTAGAGCTCTGAGCACGTGAGGAGGAAGCCACTGTCCCAGAAGTGCTTTGTCACAGTGACTGATTCAGAACCTCTCCTGTTTCCGAGGCTCTGCTCACGCGGTATGAACACCAACTGCTCTTTGGACAGCAGAGATTTCAATATGGTTAAAACCTCAGTGTTTGCCTCGAGGAAAAATGCATGTTTTCCAAGAGCTGAGAAAGGAATTACTGCTCCATGAGACAAAGCCTGACTGCACACAAGTGACAGAGGAAGATGCTCTACTCCCCTCTTCCAAAAGCTGTTCTATTACAAGACACTTAAGAGACTTTAGAAGCAGTTATTTCTAACTGAAACTGGCATGAGCCTCCCAGAGATATAAATGCCTTTTTTCTTTCTTCTTTGATGTCCCAAGAGCTTCCAGCTCCAGAAGAATAAAACCATCTCCTAATCTGGCTGGAAATGGGGTGTTTTGATAGGAGACATGAGGACTGCCTCGCTCATTCTTCCAGCAGACAATGCTGTGCCCAAGTGCCAGTTTATGTTGTACTCCAATGCTTTCCCAAATCCTGCCTGAAGGATTCAACAGTCCATCCCTGCCAACGGGGAATACAGAAATTTCCCATGCCTGTCCTCAGGCCCTGATTTCTACTCATTATGTTCAAAATGGCAACATTCATGTTAAGGAACTTCTGCTGGATTTGGAAAAGAAGCCAGAGAAGGATGGAAGCGCGGAGCTGCTGACCTCAGGAATACAGACAGACCAATCAAGCAACGTTATGATAAAGTGTTTATTCTTTTTTTTTTTTAAATATCAAATGTTTTTACACATCCATTTTGTTGATAAACAGTCCCCCAATATTAAAAAAAAATAATCAAAATCAAAAAGAGAATCAAGTGTGTATTACTGTGGGCAGAACCACATCCCATTCTCTGCTGCCACAACCACACTCCTCCTGCCAGCCTCCTGGGAGGACTGCTGCAGTGGTCAGCCCAGAAGAGTAAATGACACAAATGCAACCAGCTTTAGGATTCCTGAGTATTGATTCCCTCAAGCTCCTTAAGTGAGTCTGTAAAACTCTTAAGCTAAAAAGCATCAAAGAGTAACCCAAACTGCTACACATTGGGATCACGGACTAAGCCTCGTCTACACAGTGCAGGAAGAAATCTCTTGAATGCTTCAGAGGGGAATGATGTCCCCAAACCAACCCCACTTCCCAAGCTGACTTCTGAGAAAGACAGGAATATACCTCTGGATTTCTCCTCTTTCAATCCATGTTAGAGTTCTGGGGAGCCATTCAGCAAGAAGTCCAAGTCTGGTGAAGAAACCTCTAGGATCTGCTCCTCCTCTTATTTGTAAATGGCATAGTGTGTTAAAGAAAACTTGCCTGGAAGTTAAGCATTCAGCAAGTACACTTAAATATTGCTACTTCTGAGGAAAGGAAACGCCAAGAGGGGAGACAGGAAGAAGGGAACATATTGAGGAGGTACAAGGTTAACAGTCCTGGAGACCAAGTGTCTACGTAGGAAGTTTAACATACGTAGCAACAAGGCAAAGATTGTCATGATAATGCAGCTCAGCTCTGTCCAGCAACAGGTAAAACCATCACCAGGAAACATTTCCTCCCCTTGTCACCATTATCTATACCCAGAAACTTTCAGATGTGGGTGTTTCACTGAACATCACCTCTCAGCTCACCTAGAGCCTCAAGTACAGAAACGTGTTTAGCAAGAGGCTGAGCAAATTCCTTTGGCATCCTCAAGAATACATCCCAGAAACCCACAGCAAGGGACACGACCACAGTGGCTCCAGCAAACACCCCGAAACGAGCTCTGCAGACCCACTGGGGCATGCCACAGGCACTGGTGTCTTCATGAAGCAGCCTCTGAGTGCTGCTTTACTCTCTATAGATGGACTTGTAAATAGTTTTGCTAAGCTGATGTGACATTAGTACATTGGAGCAGTGATTAATGAGGAGGGGGAAGAGAGTGAAGAGAGGCCAGGATACATGGCTCCTTAGAAACCTGAACAGCTTTTGGTGTTGCCTTGATCCCCTGCTCTAGCCAACAAGCTGTAGCAGTCTACATAGAGGTATTCCCACTTTGTAGGCCAGGGATCAGTTGAGAGACTGCTAAAGGCTGAGCAAAAGATGTGTGCGTACAGCAGAGAGGACACACATGCATGTTGAAACAGAAGACAACTTTTAGACAATGTTCACTAAATACATGTTCTATTACCTTTAACCTTAAATACTCACCACGGCCCCAGTTTTCTCCAACCTAAATCTTGCTCCTAAAAACCTGATTCTCTAGTTTAGCAGCACATAGCCATTCACTCAAAGCAAGGCTCTGAAATGAAGAGATTTAAATCACCAGGCTTGGACTAACTTGATCAGAATAGGTTTAGAAGTATTTCTCAGTTGGGGTCAGGCTGTTTCTAGCAGTCCAGAGAAAGCTACCCAGGAAATTCTAGCACTATTGATAAACGCTTCAGTAACAGCTTTGGCAGAAGGGCAGATTTCAGAAATGATATTTGACAAAGAATAAATCTAAGCATTGAAGCAAATTGGCTGCTGCTCTAAAGCTTTTATAGCATAAATTCTGTATATGCACTCTGAGTAAATGAGGCCATAAAACTAGAGCCTTTAACCAGCTTGGTGCGAAGCAGTGGTACTTTGTCTAGCTATTAGCAATCGCTTCTAAAACCATGAAGTGTAAATACAAAAAGGGTATATACCACTGAATAGCCACTATCTGATGCTTCCAGAAGCTGGCTGCAGGCTAAGGGTGCAAATTCAGCTCTCATGCATCCGAGGGCCGACCTGCAGCTGGTGTCTGTGCACCAGATGGGGGTTTGCCCCTAGGACCACCTCACTGAGCCCCAGGGTGTCAATGAGGAGCAGATTCAGCTGGTTAGACTGAGGATGCTCTGATCTGAGAGCCTCATTCTTGTTGCTGCTTTTGATAGTGAACCAGATGCAGATGGGAATGGGTCTAATATATCTTATTTCCTAAGGCTTCTAGAGGGACATCTGATGACACTGTACTCCCGCACCAGTCCAAGCGTTACCCTTTTCAGAGGGGGCTTTCGCTGATTTGAGGTGCTTGCTGCAAGGAGAGTATGTAAAAAAAGATAATACTTCAGCAAGGGTAACACGTACCACCTGCCCAGTGAAGATGCTAAAGCTGTGTTCTTGCCTCAGTAAGTCGTTCTGAACAGAGCCTCAAGTGAATTACTCAATGCTGCTCTGGCAAAGGGTTCCCAAACAGCAGAGCACTGCCTGCTGCCAGCATCAGAAGGAGCAGGCTATAAGCTAAACACATCTGGGAGCCCAAGGCCTACCTGGTACCCTCACAGTGCATGCAAAAGCTCCATTTGACAGACAGAGGAATGCCTTAAAGCTGTTGGTTCCTCTTAAAGGACCTCCTGGCTGCCCAAAGATCTAAGAAAAGCCTGACAACCACAGCTCACCGACACCACGGACTCCTGCGAGTTCACAGATGAAACCAAATTTGTGCTGGTTTTTCAATGCCACCCTGCACAAAAACAAACCTCGCACACATGGAAGCAAATCTGCCAAGCAACAGGGAAAGCAAAACACCAGGAACACAGGCCAGAGACAATGATGGCAACAAATGAAAGCCATGACAGAAACATGTGTCCAGCTGCTGCTGACCCATCGCTTCAGGTGTAGCTCAAAGCAGAAGATTCCAGATGAACACTTGACACAAAGCCACTTCTGCCATTTGCAAGTGGGACCAAGTGAAAAGTTCCTACTTCAAATTTGGTATCATTTTTCAGCCACACTTTCCTTCCCCTTCCCCAGCCCCAACATGGTTTTGGGGCTTTGCAGAGCATCACAGAGTACTTTATCCCTCCAAAAACAACATCTGGAAAGGGCTTCCTACAGCACAGCCTTGGTGAGTCCTCATCACTCACCCGGGACATCCCAGAAGGCCACTATTGTTAATACAGAAGCCACATCAGTGCATTTGTTTCATAAACCCTATTGGGGAGCCCTCGCTCTCTGAAGAGGTATTAAATTAGTACCCACCAGCTCCTGCTGGTGCCCCCCAGTTTGCATTTCCACAGCTGAGAGGCTGATCATCCCCAAACATCCAGGTAAAACTAGTGCAAAGCAGATTTCTTCATTCTCCTGATCACCCCCTGCTTGGTGCATAGAGAATGCATGCACTGCAACAGTTCATTCTTCCCCGGGCAGAGGGAGCTGTAACACATGGATGGTTTGTTATAATTCCATCATTTTGCCTTAAAGTGGTTGAGCTTGTTCTTTTGTCTGGGGGGAACACCGTGTAGGCAAGGCTAGAAAGAAAATGTAAACCACTCCTTTTCCATCCCCGCCCCTACAATTAATACCAGCGCATCTTCAAATAAGTTAAAACGTCTCTTTTTAAGTTTTGGTAGCACCAAATTCTATCCCTTCCATTCTTCTATCCCCATGTTGTAAACTTGAACACACTGGCCCAAGAGCAGAAAAGGGTTTGGCAAAAATAGGCATCAGCCTTCCCTGTGCACACGCAAAACCACACATATCCAACCCCCCCTCGCCCGGTGCTCCTCCTGCAAAGCACTACACATCTGTGGGCATCTACAGACCTTTAGCAGCTGCCACAGTAGTTTCACGTGTCACAGACGTTGGGTTATGAAGCACAGGAGAGCTAAGCCAGATCCCAGAGTCCATTTGGACACATGCTGCCGTGCCGGCGCCGCACCGAGCTCAGTGTGCAGCTCCTGTCCTGCACACACGCACCCTCAATTCACTTCACAACCTGCTCTGCGCCGGCCAGGGCAGGCACCTGAATGGCTTCTGCTTTTTATTCATAACATTGGAGCTTATTCTAAACTTGTACATTGAAACCATGAATTTTCATCCAGTATGCATCATTAAAAGCTATTCTGTCCACACAATGCTAGGACGCTTTTGTTCTTTTCAAAGGCCAAATCTAACGGGTGAAACAGAAAAGACAAGTTACTTTGGCTGCAAAGAATTAAAACCTGGCTCACATTCAGCTTGTACATCATGGTGTGTAATTTGGATATGTCCTTTAAAAGAAAAGACACCCCAGTCAGCTACCTCTTCCGTGGTTATGTAGGAACAACGATACTCTTAGCCAGCAAGATGAGGAGAGCAAGATCCGTGTTTCCATCTGCTTGTTGCAAAGCCTCAAGAGCTTCCCGCATGGTAAAACCAGCACCAAGGATCCGATCAACATCAGCCACAGGGAAGGCAGGGAGGGGAGAAGCTCCCAAGGCAAGTCCAGTACAGGCCGATGGTGGGTTCTGCACTGGTTCCTCACACCCACCCAGGCAGGGACCTTCTGGAGCAGAACTGCTGCTCCTCCCGGGTGCTCCTGTGCACAGGCTCTGAGTATCTTGAGGTGCACCCTCACCCACAGTGGGTGCAGAGGAAACGGATGTCTTCTGCTCCAGGGCAGGACCAGCTGGACTCTGATGACCTCCTGCCAAAACCTCCTCCTGCTCAGAGCTCTGCTGCTGGTCAGATGTGGCTGCAGAATCCACCATGACCAAATCACTCTTACCTGAAAGCTTCTGAACCTCAGAAGCACCTTCTCCAAGAGCAGACTGTTTGTGACCACCAGACCCAGCGCTGATGTTCTCGATGCCACAATCACAAGGCTCTTTCTCCTCTGCTTTTCTGCCTTCAGACCTCACCTCATAGGAGGAACAACTCAGTTCTGGATCCGAGCCTTTCTGCTTATCTTCAGAAAGCCCCTTCTGCTGTGCTGCTGGCCCTGTGTGAGCCATTTCCAGCTGAGAGACTTCTTCAGAGGCAAGGATTTTACATTCTCCTTTCCGACTGGTAACCAAGAGTTTGTGAAGCTCTTTCAAGGCTGATGCAAGAGAGAAACATCGCTCTTCGGAAGCTCTTCCTGGATCCATGTCCAGCTGATGGATGCTGGAAGGGGAAGAGCTGCCTTCAGCCACCAGCTGATTACACAACTCAGTATACTTTGCAGGAATCCCACCAGTGCTTTTAGACTGTGGAACGCCACCGATGGAAAGCGGATCACTCAAGGAGGATGCAGATTTCAGTGACTCCACTTCCATGGAAGAGGCATCCGAGTTCAGGTTGGACCCACTTCTGTTCCCAGCCTGCTGCTTCTGCTCACTTGTTGAGCTCTGCGCTTCAGCTGCAGCCTGCTCAACCACATCTACTTCCATTAAGGCTTCCGTATGTGTACAGCTGAAGGAGGCTGACATTTGGATACTCCCTTTCCCACAGGAAAGACCTGGTTTCTCCAGTTCACCTCCTCTCACTTCCACAGGAGGATTTTCCATCTGGCTGGCTTCTTCCACAACAAGTTTCTCAACCTCACCAACATGGCAAGGAGGTTCTGGGTCAGTTGTCTCAGTTTGCTCCTCCAGGTGTTCCTTCTCTGGTTCTTTGTGTGTCTGATGCACTATGGGAAGCTCACGCTTCCCCTCCTGTTCTGAAGACAGACATACATCTTTATTTTGCCCATGTTCAGCAGCAGTGTCAGCCAAACTATTTGCTTTTGTCACTTCCAAAGGACATTCCTGACCACGGTCTTGTTCTTCAGCTTTACATTCCTTTTGACTGTCAGCAATAAGTGCTTCTTTGAGTGTCTTCTGTGAAAGGCAAGCTGGACTGCAACAGGGCACCTCCCCTGGCTGGGGAGAAGGGTCATTATTTGCCAAGGAAGCATTACTGGAAAGATGTTGTGATAATAGAGGATGTTCTTCTTCTGGGGTTATCTGGCATTCAGTTGAAGACTCCAAAGACTTGACGGCTCTAGGATCAATGGGCTCCGTGAGGCTGGGTTCGGATGAGCAAACTGAAGCAGGGGCAGAGACAGAACGATCAAGTAATTGATTTGTGGGATTACAGATCTTGGAATTTAGTCCTGAAGACTGGACTGGATTTTGAAACCCATCAGAAGCTGGTAATGAGGGCATTTCCAGTGAGGTAGTTTCTTTGTCACTATTCTCTAACGGAAGACAGAAAGAAAGAAGTAGTCAGGGTACAGGAGAACTGTGTTTTCACTGTAGTAGAGAGAACTTATAAACCAGTGGCTGTAAATACCTGGTCTGTGGCCCATTCCAGCTGCAGTAAACACACACTACATGCATCAAGGCTTCTGACGTTCTGTTTGGATTAGGAAACAAACACACCAAACTTGCGTTAGTATTCAGAGCACACCACATGCATGGTTACAGTCCTGCGACCTCGCAGCTCCCCTCCTGACTGTCCATCCAGACAGTGTGGAAGCAGCTTGAGCTCCTCCTGTTCACTGCTTCCAGGAGTTCTGCCTGGGGAATTCCTTACATCAAGTCAAAAATAACTCTGCTGAGAACCATTTTAAGGCTGTTCTGTACTATCTAAGCTGCAGAGTGGTCCGTGGGTGATACTACACATAGGATAAACTATACACAGCACAAGGCACATGTCTGGTTTGTTCTCCGTAAGGCTGAAGATATTCAGGCAGCATGTTTCAGGGCTATGAGAACTGAGACGGCAACACAATCCCTGCGCTGTGCTCCCAGCAGTGCCAAAACACCAGCTTGCTGCAAAAGGGAAGCATAAAGATCCTAGGGTGAAAGGCAGAAACCCCAAAAAGAATTGCTGGCCGAGGCTGGGATGAGCAGAGCAAAGGAAGCGACAGCCTGAAGTCAAACCCAGCTCACTGCTTCCTTCTCCACCCTGAGAACGGATGGATTGCAGATCTCTATCAGGAGCACCAAACACTGGCTCTAGTTATCAGGAGAGATTAAATAAGAGAACTTATCTTGCTAATATATCGGCTCTCACATGCTCAGTCATTCACCAACATGACCTTTGCAGCAGCGGTGCCTGTTCTTCCATTAAAGCCCTACTCTGTTCAGTGTCAGATATCCAGATTGTGCTGCATGATTTGTTTGCTTTAGTTTCCTTTCCCTTCCCAGAGGCCTCCAAACTCAGTGTTTTACCTGAAGTCTTTCTGCACATAGCCAGGTGTACTGGGGACAGCTAACCATTCCCAAGTACAGCCAAGAATTCCTTCAGGTCCACAACATGGAAGAAATCTGCCTTTCACTTCAGTTACTTGTTTCTTTTATTGTCTGTTAAACAGCAATGATGCTGCACTACCACACCCTGATCAATATGCTTTGGTATAAAGAACAGCAGCGAGGCACACAGCAATCCCTTCTGCTGCCTGCACATCTGGTCTTTATGCAGCTACAACAACTCGGAGATGCTGGGGTATTAAAAAGCCAGAATTATCCTGCAGATCTGCAGACTGCTCAGCTTTCATCCGGTGGCAAAGAGGCTTCAGACACAGGATACGGATGAACACCAGGGGGATCTGTTTCTGTCTCTAAGCAGCAGGATTACATTCACACTCTCTGCTCCCAAGGCAATCCTTCAGAGAGGAAGCAGAACTGTCTTTTGATTCAGTGCGTTGGTAATAAAGGGTCTGATCAGACACGAGGGAGTTGCTGTCATTTAGACAGCAGAAGTAGCTGGTAGCCTGCCAAGCACTCCTCCAAATCATCCTTCCGAGCCACTGTCATCCTGCTCCACGGCTATCTACAGGAGCTGAATCCCAGCCTGTCAAGGGTATTGATCCAGCTAACACTGGGAACAAACTCTTCTGCACAAAGTGCACCAGCAGAGATAAATTCCTCTCTATATTAGGAAAAACCTGAGTTGCATTTGTGGTGGCAGTGCCTTTCTTGTACCGAGCCTGTCAGGACGAAAAGCTGTGTAAGGGGTAAACTACTGAGTATACTTCCTAAAGCTACTGCAGTTTTGCTGCCAGTTCTGTAAATCCTCCATTGTCACCGAGTCTCCCAGTGGCAGGGGAAACACTTCATATAGGCAGAACAGAGCAAGCTCTCAGAGCCAAACAGATGAGGAGGATCTAGATCACAGTAAAACACAACAGGGGTCCACGACCATCTCAGCTGCCCTTCTGCAGGTGTTGAAACGTGGGCTTCAGGGGATGAAGTAAAGCTCAAGAATCCCCCAGGTGCATTCAGAACAAGAACTTTAATAGCCCCCAGATGTATGCAGCAGTGTCTGCTGTACCATCTACCAGAAGGCAGCAAAAATTCAAGCTGTTATGAAAGAACACAGGTCTTGTAGATAGCCGAGCTTCCTTGGTGCTGCATTACATCCGCTCCCGCTTCACCTTCCTGTTCTTTCACTTGGATTTCCTGGTACCATCTGGCAGCAACTAATAGTTTGGGAAGATAGGAAAAGGGTATATTCTGGCATCTTTGGACATAGCCAACAAATGCCTGTGGGCTGGAGGCTTGTAATACACCTAAGACTTACACAGAGTCAGTCTAAACAAGACCTACCTTAGTTTTGTGCACTGGTGTTCTGCAAGCATTAAATGAATACCCAAATGATTTCCTGTTCTCATACATCTCTGACATTCCTCTAAGGCTCAGCAGCAGTGGTGAACTGCGGATTGATTAGCCTGAACAAAGCCACATGGCCTTTGGAACTGCAGCTGCATAAGCAGCTTTAACTCCTTTTAGGCACTTTTCATTTTAAAGCACTCAACTACAATACCTTTATTGTAAAAGCTCATATTTTGGGATGAGGTTTGCTTTGTATTTGACCCTTTCAGTAGAGAACTAAGCCCAACCAACTACAATGTCTGCAAAATCTTTTCTGAAATAGAGAGGTACTACAAAAAACAACCCAGGCTTCATCAAGCTCAAAATCTGAATAGGAAAAGCACTCATATTTACACCTGCATGTTTTCTCTGCAGGTTATATGAGGAGACACGAGCTCAAGCTGCTGAGTCTGACCTTTAGCGCTGCCAAAACCTGAGAGGGACAAGGTCAAATCTGTGTTTGTGTTTCTCTCTGTTTGCTGCACTTAAGAAACATACAAATTTGGTTTTAAAAGTCAAACTCCTAAACTATTTCTTGCTGATTCATTAAAGCCAGGCCTTCCTCTCAAGGTTTTTATATCTCTGGAGAACTTGTATTCTTAGCATGGAAGCAGATGGTCAAAGGGACCAGTAAGTGCAGTCCTGAGCTCCCCTTAATGGAACAACTCCATTATTTGCATTAAGCTCACTACTTACACTTTGGACTATCAAGCAGCGATTGGGAAGTGTTAAAGAAAAATGGCAGTGCATTACAACTGGTTATATATATATATATACACAATATATATATATTTATATTATATATAATATATATCACATACAAGCAATATATAAAGACACATTTATATACATTTAACCATATATATATGTATATATATATATGGTTAAATTTGGTTATCACACTTCAATTGTACATACGGACATGCTAACGTCTTCAAAAAACAGCAACAAAAATGTTGAAGGAATCAAATTTATCAGCTCAAACATGACCCAGCATGTTTTGCGTGTGTGTGGGAAGCAGAATCTCACTGTGTGCTTTCAGGGGGACAATCAGCAGTAAAACTTGAAAGTCTCTAGAAAATACTTGCATGTAAAATGTTGTCCTTAAAGGTTTTGGAAAAGGGCTAAGGAATACACTTTGTGAGGTGTTCACAGCTTCATGGAACTAAAATAATGAAGCTTCCCTCTAGTCAAAAGCCTATGCTGGAGTGAAGGGAGGAATTAAACAGACACTTCAGGTCACAGCTTTCAGCTATTTTGGCATCTCCACTTTACATTTTGCAGCTACCAAATTCTTCCATAGCCTAAAGTCAGGCTTCATTTGTGCAGCTCATGGATTCCAGAGGCACAAGGAACAGAACTATGGGGAGGGTGAAAATCCTCTTTGCAGATACACATCAGGATGTGACTTCAGCTGCTGCTTTTGAAATCCCGAGCACCAGCAGCCTCAGTAAGAGAAGCACTTCACCTTCCAAGGGCACAAGCAGCACTCTAAGGAAAAATGCTGAAATAGTGCTAGTTCTAAGAATTGTCATCTTTGGTCCAGAGATTTGCTCTGATTGCTTCAGCTCCTCTATTTTTACATGCTGCAGCTATTAACAGAGTGCTTGTGGAAGCCCCCACAAAGCTGCCTTTACATGAGGCTGCTGAAATATCACCCAACTGAGCTACGTCCCTGCCTAGGCACTACAGCTGGTGCCAGAGACAATCATTTATCTCCACACCTCTGAAGGCCAAGAAGCCAGAGCAGGTAGGAAGTTGCAAGGAGAGCACACATAAACAGCAAGCACCCCCAAATGCCTTCATGCAAATTTGCTGTACAGAAAGGGAGAGAGAAGCGCAGTTAGAGGCAATGAGCATGAATAAAGCCCCTTCCTCTCCACTGTTTACTCGCTGATGCTGCATTAAACTGCGTCTCCTAGGTGCTGAGAAGGGGGAACTGCTGACTGACACCCTGCCACACAGCAAGGGAACTCTGCAGATCAGTATTTCAGTGGGGCTGCTCCCGGTACCTGCTTCCTCGACGGATTTCTGTATTGCTTCTGCTAGTTCCTGGTCTGCGATCTCCTCCGGCCGGATGTCCTCCCGCCCGGCCCCATACGCCAGCCGGGCACACTCTGGGAGCTCGCCCTCTGGGAGGAACGTGGTCTGTGAGCCTGTCGTGCCAATCACCAGTACATTCTTCTTGAGATCAATGGAGCACTGTGAAAGAGCATCGAGACATCAGGGGCCTGGGTAAGAGCCAGTCCATTCCCAGAGAAAAAGGAGAAACAAGATTAAACAATCCACTTCCAATGGGAAGAACCCACAGCAGCCAACTGTGGGCCAAGAGCATCAGCTCTGAACAAAAGGGCTCTTATGACCTGCTTTGTGACAAATCATTCAGTTGGAAAGCTCTGAGCATCTTCAATCAAAGCAAAAAACTTGCCAGACATGCTCCAGCTACCCATGATACATGAAGTATATGTACTTCACAACTGGCTGGAAGATAATCCACCAGCAACTCTCCCCAGAAAAATCCTAATACATTCCCAGGCAATGAAAGCATTCCTGTTGCACTCAGCACTGAACTTGGAAGTGCAAGTAACTGCTTCAGAAGAGGTCAGGAAGTGGAGCAGCTCTGCTCTGGAGCCAGGCTGAGAGAGCTGGGCTGGGGCAGCCTGGAGAAGAGAAGGCTCCTGAAGGGGAGACCTGAGAGCAGCTCCAGTGCCTAAAGGGGCTGCAGGAAAGCTGGAGAGGGGCTTGGGACAAGGGCCTGTAGGGACAGGCCAAGGGGAATGGCTTGAACCTGCCCGAGGGGAGACTGAGCTGAGCTCTTAGGCAGAAGCTCTTCCCTGTGAGGGTGCTGAGGCGCTGGCACAGGGTGCCCAGAGAAGCTGTGGCTGCCCCATCCCTGGCAGTGCTCAAGGCCAGGTTGGACACAGGGGCTTGGAGCAAGCTGCTCCAGTGGAAGGGGTCCCTGCCCGTGGCAGGGGTTGGAGCTGGAGGAGCTTTCAGGTCCCTTCCAACCCAAACCATTCTAGGATTTTATTTTTCTATGAGGTTCTGATACCTGATGCCTTTTAAGCATATCCAGTCCTAGAAGCATGTCCATGGGCTGCTCTTCAAGGATTGAGAAGGAGCACGCAAGGAAATCCCCTTCAATCTGGACCTGAGCTGAAATATAAGGAAGAGAGTTTACCTCCTTGAAATACCTAAAGTGCAATAAATCTACTCTCATCTCTTTGACCTCCTGGGCAAGGTCTGCTCCTGCCAAATCTGAAACCAGAGCTCTGACATAGCATTTTGGTCACTGCACATCCAGCCCTGTGCAAGCCTCAGGGACTACCAGGCCTGCCTTGGTCTCAAGAAGCTAGTTAAGAGCTGACTGCTGTAAACCCTTACTTACTGCTCATCTAACCCTCCAAGCCTGAGGAGCTGTACAGTGAAGACAATCTTTTTTCAGACAACAAGGAGAATCTTCTCTCATCCAGAAAAACTGAGCAAAAGCACAGGCAATCTTCTCTTCCCAAAGGAATACAACACACTCCACTGTACTGGAGCCCTAAGCAAATCATACTGCCCAGCAGTCCCACCCCAAAGACATTAGCCTGGTTTTTTGCACCCAGACTGAACACAGCCTCTCTCTGTCTGCAGGAGCCGAGGACTCCTGCACCTAAAAGCGTTAAGGTAATTCCATTAAAAAAGCATTAAACGAGACAGCAGCTTTTCCTGAGACAAGCAAACATTCTGGAGATGCACTTTTATTTTACTCTGTGGGACCTCCTAACAATTATAGCATTAAACTAGATCCTCTTGGTGCCAAGAGTGCGGGAAATGCAGTCACACTGCTGCTGAATCTGCCCCGGTGCAGAACGCCAGCACTTACCTAAGTGCACTCTACCGATGATCTTCTGTGTCCCTACACCTTTAGCAATGCCAGCCCATCGTCGATCTACCAGCCTCATAATGTTGCACCTTTCAGCACAGGCTTGGCTCATGATGGTCATCTGGGCACCTGCCAGCAACAGAATTGGTGTTAAAACCTGAGTGCTCAACACAGATGCAAATTCTCCTCTGGAAGGGCTTAAGATCTTGCATTCAGCAGCTGGGAAACCAACCTGCCTGCATCAGGCAACTGCACTGGGGTGCAAAAGTCTCCTGTGAATCCCACTATGTTGCATGGACTGTAATCACACAACAGTATTACTGTAGAGCTGGAATAATCCCAAGTACTTTCCCTTTAAGGCTGTGGATGGGAAGCCCTACATTAAAGGCACGTGTAATCCCCCCATCCGTAAAATGAGATAAGGCAGACACGTGGCAGTGACCGTTCTGGCACTGAAGGCCAAAATTCTCCCAGGAGCATTGGTCTGAGGGGCTCAAGCACTCGTGTGTGCTGCTTCTCTCAACAGTTTTGCCTTATGCAATGCCCAAGCTGCTCTCAGGCTTTAATTAGATGCTTCAAAATGTTCTAACACAGTGCTTTAGTATGGAATTTTTGGGCAATGATTCTGGAATGATTGCTGTCTCCTTCAGTGAGAGAAAGGAGAGCAAAGAGATGAGAAAGAGTCAGTTCACCTGAGTCAACAAAGGCTTTCACTGGATGTCCGTTGACTTTGCAGTTAATGTACAGCATCACCACCTGCCCAAAGCTCTCTGGGGCCTCTTCCATTGCTATCGTCATATTTTCTTCAATGTTTTGTTGCCTGATTTTAATGGAGAAGAGAGAGAAGAATCAGCCCTTCCGTCAGCTGAACCTTACGAGCATCCCTCTGACTTACAAACAGAGCCAGCATTCCCACCCACTGCAGCTCACCTTACAAACAGCACAGCCAGAGCACACCAGGGACTGCTTCATTAGCTACACATACGCTTCCCAGAAAAGGAGTTGCTAGTAATGACCTTGGCTTAATCCAGAGCCATGGAGACTGCTCCTTCCAACACCCTGCCTAACTCACACTACAGCTCCTGACAGCCTTCTCTTTGCAACAGAAACTCACCACCACAGGGTTAACCTGGAGAACTTGTGAGCAAAAACCCTGCATATTTATTACTCTAAAATAAAGCACCGAGGGCACACAATGACAATGTTGCCAGTAGCTACAATGCTGGAATCCCACACAGCAGCTGAACGTTCAAATCCTCCAACGTTTCCCTGGTATCTTCTCCTTGCCAGGCACAGGAAAGGAGGGAGGTGAGCAAAACCACAGTGAGAAACACCACCATGAGCACAAACCTCTGGTGCAATTTCAAGCCTACAGAAGAAACGTGCTTCCAGAAGCCCACCACAGCCCAAGAAGTATCTTGGAAGTGATGGGCATCCACAGCAACTGTATCCAAAATAGCTTCATCTACCAAAAAGGGAAAAGGGCTTCCAATTTTGATGTCATTTCATTTTAACTCCTCAGTAGGGGAAGGGGAAAACCTCAAGAGCCACTCTTATCCATCTTCTGTGCTGTGGTAAGCCTTCCCCCAACGATGGGGAGAGGAGGTTTCTTGGTGGTGAAGGATAGTTAATGGCCCCTGATACCTGGCTCACTTGGGAGCTAAAGCACCCTACTGCCAGCATGTCCCACTTCATGTATTCATGCATCATATTGTCCTGTCTTTTATTATTTAAGCTTACATTGGATACACAGTGGCTAATCTTCAGTTTGTTCTCTTGTCAAATCCATTACTCTGTTCTCTCTGTGCCTGACACTCCATCTAAGGTACACTCTGAAGGGCAGAAACATGTCTCAAAACAAATAGGACACTTGCCACAGCCTCCTGTCAATCCTGGGCACAGCACATCTAATGAAGCAAAGAGTTCAAGGTGTGAAATCTGGGGACAGCTGCATGGCCTCCTGCACCTCACCTTTATCTGTCCCCTCATCTATGGAAGCAGGAGAGCATTCCTGTGCCTCAAGCAACGTTTTGCTACCTACAAATGTGTTTTCCTGCTTTGCTAAACAAAGCATTTATCCAGCACCAACACCTTGTCAGCTGCAACACAAGAATGACTCTTACTGCAACTGAATTTTGGTTATGATCAGCTCTGAGCCTGAACCAAAAAGACATTTCTGAGTTGACGAAGAAAGCATCCAACATGATCTGACTCAAGGATTTATCACTCAGTGTAAGAATCAAGCCCCAGCCCAATGCAATTACACTTGGAAGCCAGCAAGAGGGAGGGAGCGAGTGCTGATGAACAGAACATATTTCTACAGAACATCTCTTCTGACAGCAGCGATGTTCCGGGTCTGGAATTAGCCAGAGACACAAACCAATTAGCAGTACACAAAACCCAGTCTGGAAGGCAGCTGGGAGAAATGACACCACGTTGCTGTGCAGAGAGATCAGCCTAGAGACTAACACAAGCCTGAGGTTCAAAACATGCCTGAGGCACCCAAGTACCACCTCACCAGAGGACCTCAGCTCTTGTTTCAAAGGGAACCAGCTTAGGCAGCTCTGGGACATCACATGCACAGATAGTGATACTGCTACCTCATGATCTGTGCTCAGATAGATACCTCTGAAGGATGGGGTGCACCCACATGTCCCTGAATCCCAAACTTCCCATGTGTGAAGGCAGCTCAGAGCATCGCCCTCCAAGCAAATGCATGTCTTAAGGCAGGATCTAAACATGCTCCATGCATCTTCCATGGAAAACACACCATAGATGGAGGCATGCTGTGGAAAAAGGCACTGTGAAAACCTCCAAAGCCTGCAAGTGGCTTTGGTTTCCTACCTTATGTCTTCTTCTATCTTGGCCTGTGCCTCGAGATCAAAAGGGTCAGCTGAATAGAGCCGGATCCTCTCCTGCTCCCGGCGGGCTCGGTCCTGCTGCTGCTCCAGCAACACCCTGGTGAATTTCTCTGCAGTAACAGGGAGACATAGAAATGCTCTTTACTGGAAATGGCTCTTACAAATCAAGGTCTGGCACAGCAAACTCCTCTTTCTATGCCAGCACGCACTCAGGGCTAGAGTCAACAGCACATGCAAAAAAAGGCTTCCTCTGCAGGCAGCACTGATGGACCACAAATGAGCACACCTGGGAATGCCCTAGGATAAAAAATGACTCTTTCTCCTTGTGTCTGCTACCCAAACTCAGCACAATCAGACTCAATTTCCATGCACATACATTTTTATATGGAGAAAAACACAAAGACAATATTTAAACCAAAGAGCTGCCATTAAAGCACGAATTCACTCTTCTACTGCAGCAAGAATTGCCTACACAATATGCCAAAAATACCCAAACAGCTGCAAAACCAGCAGATAAATGAGACCCGAAGCACAGATCAGGACTAAGAATCTGCACACTCAATTGAGAGGCTTAAGTGCACGTGCATTTTGGAACAGCTTCAGAGATAGAAGGGAGGTTTCACAGCTCTCAGCAAGATGCCCATCCCCAAGAACAGCTTGCAAAATGTGCCACATTTTACACTCAGCATTCCCAGTAAAAGAGCAGCCTGTGCACCCAGCAAAAAACAAAGGCAAAGGCTAACAACAAAGCTCACTTTAAACCCAAGCAACACAGGCAAAGACATCATCATCCCCACAGCTGAATACCTGCCACTGCAATCAGGAGGTCCTAGCTGGGACACCCACTTCCCAAAGTTTTAGGTGCACCTTTTAAGAACACAGTTTTTAGATCCCCGCTTTTTGGATAGCCTCTGGCTGCTTTTTATGACCTGGATGTGAACATGTACATTCCCAAAAGGACTTGGCAATAAATGAGGTTCTGTAAATATAGAAGGTTGTAGGTTTGCTTCCAGAAATGCAGTTCCCATGAAGAAGGTCACTGGCTCCGAGGCTGTTCAGGAAGGCATTAGGTGTATTTTCTTACTTGTTTGGGTTTTTATGTTTTAAACTAGGCTTCTGTATAGCAGGTACCTTCTACAGCACTTGCGGTACATATCTATGCATGTACTGAGGCATGAGAGCTAGAGCTGAACTGGATCTGTGCCCAAACACTAACAGTAGCCATAGAGAACAAGGCAAGCACGACCAGCTCAAACCCCATCCTTCTAGCAGCTTGCTGTGGCAAACTGGGGACTAAAACCACGCATCCGAGTCACAGTTTACAAGCACAAGGCAAGGCAGAGCAGCAGATGAGCCAGTTCTGGGTGTCTGGGGCTTAACCTCTCGTTTTCTGTGCCAGGAGCAGCACATCTTGACAAGGGGATGGAGAAACACCAGCATTACAGGCACAGCACTTGCAAGAAGAGCGCAAGCGATGTGGTTTTAACTCTGGCTATAAACTAAAGTCAGAATTGGGAAATGAAACAGACCAAGAATATTCATGCAAGCTCCTTTCTAGCTTTATCAGACAGTGAAAAATCACAAGGATGTAACCTTGAAAGTGGGGAAGAAAGTCGCCTGCTAGAAGATATTTCATTCTCTGCCCATGGCAGGGGGGTGGAACTAGATGATCTTCAGGTCCTTTCCAACCCTATCTGATGATTCATTTTCCCCAACTCAACAGGATTTATTTCCTAACTAACTGTCTTGCAGCAGTTCAGAAAGCACAACTGCTGATGCCCACACCACTGAAGGACCAACACAGACTCAACTGCAGAGGAAATCAAGGACATGATACTAGGCTTCAATTGCACCCAAATTAATCACAGTGTTCAAGGCCACGTTGGACACAGGGGCTTGGAGCAAGCTGCTCTAGTGGAAGGGGTCCCTGCCTGTGGCAGGGGTTGGAGCTGGATGGGCTTTAAGGTTCCTTCCAACCCAAACCAGTCTGGGATTATGACTCTATGAAAAATCAGTTGCTGAGCCACTTGTGACCAACAGAAACGACTCATCTGTGCAGCTGATATTTCAAAGTAGGGGACTGAAAATATTAAAGCAGCCAAGCAGGAGAAATACACCCAACTCAGCAGAAAGGTCTTGTTAGGAAAGGAACCCTGCCTTGAGTATTCCCAACTGGCACCTTTTATCAGCACCAACAAGGAGTTGGCAGCAAACATCCCAGTTAAACACCCACAGCTGCCTTTTGTCAGAAGGGAGCTCCAACAGGTTCCAAACCACCTCCCAGAGGTTAACCCCCACCTCACCGAGGTCTCCGCTCAGCAGCGCCTCTGCCAAGGGCGGGTTCCTCTCCTTCAGCAGCGACAGCTCGTGGGGGTTTGCGAGCAGCATCTCCCGGAGCAGCGCCGGGTTGTCCAGCCCCTGCGGGAATGAGGGGGCATCGGGAGGCGACGGGCGCAGGCGCTGCGCTGGAGGCTGCTGCTGCTGCTGCTGCGTGGACGTGCCCGGAACTGCGATGCTGCTGAAGTCTATCCTGGGCAGACCTTGAGGGACAAAGAGGTCAGAGGTGTTGGGGCTTCACGTTCACACTGTGAGAACTGCTCTTAATGCTGCACTACTAGACCAGATTCTGTAAGAGCAGTTTGGAAGCATGGCCACGCATGCAGGTTACTGGGTTAGGGATGCCAGCCTTGCTCGACGTAACTCGTCCAACCTTCTATCTGGCCTGTTTTCTTATCCCCTGAAATGCACTTAGTGAATCACAGACTCGTTATTTCCAGCTTCACCAACGTGAATTCCACACGGAGGGATTGCAAGGCTGAAGCTCACGTCTCTCTAAGGCGCTTCTGAATCTCACCGATTAAAACAACCAACCAGGGAAAAAAAGAGAACTGGCATTTCTGCAGACCTGCATTGCAGGTACCCAACCTCCAGCTGAGGCAGGAGGATGAAGACCTCAGGCAATGCTCCCATGCCCTTCTCAGCCAGCAGCAACTTCTTTTCCAGCCATGTTTTATGACACGGATTTGCTGGGAATGGCTGCAGAATGCAGGACAGAGGAGCAGAGCTCTGCTCAGAGGAGTCTGTAGCACAGTTGCATAACTGGGTTTGTTGAGATGCAGCTTCTCTGGGTATCTGTCATGTGTAGATTCAAAGAGCACATCAATACAGCCTTTTAAAGCACCTGAGCCATGCAGACCACATATTACTGTGCCATTACACCAGGTGGCTGTATAAATATTCACAGGCCTTTACAAACCCCGCTGTTCTGAACCAGTTCCCTTCCTTGCTCTCTCTGCATTCCCCCCGGAGAACAGTAAAATGATATTTGCTTCCTTGGAAGAAAAAAATCCCATTAAAAACAAGCCCTCTGGCTAATTTTCAAAGCCTCCCACCTCACTCCTAACCACCCTCCCTTCCAAGGTGCTTTGCCTAGTGAATTGCTAAAGGAGACCGACAAGACATGGAATTGGTGTTTGATAAACATGCAGATCTTTGCATGCTCTGAGCAAATGGTAACACAAATCCTTTCTCACCTGGGAAGCGGATGGAGGGCCGTGGCTCCACGGCCTCTTTCTGTCGGAGGATCACCACATCCCCGTCTTTCAACCCATAGGAGGCCAAAGATCTGTTGTTGTCAGTCAGCGGCCGCTCCGCATAGACTATCTGTTCATGGAGAGAGAGCAGTGAAAAACCCCAGCAATGCAAAGCAGGGCAAGATAAAAACCAGCAAGAGGTTATTATCTTAGGAAAGGCTCCAGTAAATCCTCTGGCCCCATCTTGAGCTTCAGAAGGGAAGGTAAGCAGTGCTCACCACAGCCCTGCCCAAGCACCTCCACCTCAGGCACAGAAAGGCCTCTCTGAGTGGTTGGACAAGGACGCAGACTTGGTCTTGCTGAAATCTGGCAGTGGTTCCTCAGAACCCAGCATCTCAGAGGAGGGCTGGTCTCCTTTCATTTCACATTGTGAAAGAAGGTAAGCCTTGCCCCAGGCCTGGTCACCACACATTTCCAAACTCCAGTCTCTAAGATCACAAGTCACCACTGCCTTACACTGTGCTGTCAACACCTACTGACCAAGGACCAACTGCACACCCACAGGCAGCACCTATCAGGGCAGACCCACGGATGATGCAGTCCAATATCTACAATCTCTGCCTTCTCCCACAACAGCTCCCCAGAATAACCAGTTTTACAAGGCCCACAGTAATCAGCTCAATGATTTCCAGTTTACTTCATTGATGTCCTCAACATAAAAAGGACATGGAGCTGTCAGAACAAGTCCAGAGAAGAGCCACGAGGATGCTCAGGGGCTGGAGCACCTCCTGTATGGAGCCAGGCTGAGAAAACTGGGGCTGTTCAGCCTGGAGAAGAGAAGCTGCGTGGAGACTTCAGAGCAGCTTCCAGTGTCTGAAGGGGGGCTATAGGGATGCTGGGGAGGGACTCTTCATCAGGGACTGGAGTGATAGGACAAGGGGTAATGGGTTAAAACTGAAACAGGGGAAGTTTAGATTGGATATAAGGAGGAAATTCTTTCCTGTTAGGGTGGTGAGGCACTGGAATGGGTTGTCCAGGGAGGTTCTGAATGCTCCATCCCTGGCAGTGTTCAAGGCCAGGCTGGATAGAGCCTTGGGTGAGATGGTTTAGTGTGAGGTGTCCCTGCCCATGGCAGGGGGTTGGAACTGGATGATCTTAAGGACCTTTCCAGCCCTAACTATTCTATGATTCCATGTAACTCTAACTGGACATGAGGGTTCAGCACCCAAACACCCCTCCTGAGACTGCAATCAGCCTGTGTTGGGGAAGTAACTTCTTTTGACTATAAAACACATTCACATCATTTTCTATTAAGATAATCTGCCTTAACAAGGGGTCCACAGATTAAACATAAAATCATATTGAGATCAAAATGAACAATCACCATGGGAACATTTCTATTCACATTAGATCTGTGATACCTACAGATGCCCTGAATTACAGAGAAGCAAGAAAACAAAATAAAGATGTGATTTACAGGAACAGATGTTCCCAGAAATGGTATCTGCTAAACATTACAGTTCCTGTGCCTCCACTGAGGCACAACAAGACCTGTTTCAACAGCTCCTACCCCTAGCAGGACTCCAGGGTGAGAAGTGCTGGAGAACTCGGCCTAAACCCGTTGGGCATATGATGGAATTTCACATTTACCACCTTGTTTAGCAAGACTGGGTCTGGAGAAGGCCGGTTCAGCAACAACAGGTTTGCTGCAGGTCAGGACTAGCAGCAGTGGGGAGCAGCTCTGCAGTCCTCACGTGGATGAGCCACAGCTCTGTTCGATGCTATCGCAAGCAGCAGAGCCAAAAAGAAGATCCAAAAAGCCCCCTAGTTACTGCACGTCTTCATGTCTGGAAGATGCTCCTGACGTTCACTGCTTTACTCCAGGAACTCAGAAACAACACAGAATCTTACTAGTGCCTAACAGCTGAGATCCACCGGCAGCAGCAGTGCCAAAGACAGACAGAAAAGGCAAAACCAACAAGAACCATGTACAACAGCAATCAGAGCCATCAGCATGAGAGAATCCTGCACGAGCTTCCTACCTCCTCATTAACAACACACCTCCCAGCCTCAGCAGTACTGCACTAGGCTGGGTCCCTTCCAAAGCAAACACAGGTCTGTAAGCAATATTCCTTTCTATTCCAATGGCTTGCAAGACATTACCAGCATAATTCAGGTTAGGCTCTGATGGGAAGAGTCCCCACGCGTTACCAGATGCACCCTGCCCAGCCTGACTCAGTAACACCGCTGCCCGCAGGGAAAGCAAGAGTGGGATGAATCCCAGCTGCACGTGCAAGTCTGAAATGGCAGTCTCCCTGCTCAGACACTCGGGAAGAGACAAGTTAATCAGTTTAAGTGAGGCTTTGCCTCCGTCGCCTTCCTGGAATTGGATTTATGAGCATTCGGCCTTAACACCTCACACAATGAATTAAGTGCTCCAAGCTCACTCTACATCCATTAGCAGCCTGGCTTAGCAGCTTCTGACCCACTCTGCTCTGCTCTCAGAACAAGCTGATGTAATTTGGTGTGTTTGGATTGTCTGGTTTGCAGCACACTTTTGTTTGCTGGCCAGGCACCGGACATGGGCTCTTCTGGGGGTGGCCTGAGCCAGGATGGAGGTGCTAAGACTGCACGATGGATGGATATGACACCACAGGGTAGAACCTCCTTACGGAGCAAGGAACCCCAGTCAAGAGCACGAGATACCACCAGCAACCACAGATCAATCCAAACGCAGAACCCATGAAACAACCCTATGCCCAGCCGAGGACAGGAGACACATGGCATGTAAAGAAAGAGAAATGAAGGACATCAGTGGTGCTGCAGAAGAACACGGTTCTGCCGAGAGCCTCCCCATCTCCTCTCCAGAAAAGCCACCACCTTGATGTGTGCAGGAAACCAGAGTGAGCCAAATTAGCTCCCCTCTCCCAGCACAGCTCCTCTTATCACCACAGCCTGCCAGCAGTGTCTCTGTTATCTCATGCCACCCTGTGACCACGGCCCCTGCTCACCTCCACCCCAACTGCAGCACCCAGAATTAATGTCACAAACCAGCAGAGAGTGAGAGTGGGATGAACCCTCCTCCACACACGAGAGGTTTACTCCACCCTGCACAACCTTTCCCATGAAATTCATCCTCTCGTTAGTGCTGATGTGACACCTTCAACATACGCCTTGGTTATGGGAAAATGGCAGCAAACTACGTGGTTTGGTGAATGTAATGCTGCCTGTTTGAGGAGGACGGTTTGAGCACACAAAATCCTTCCACACAACTTGCTTTGCTGATAACTTGTGGTTTTATACCTTTCTCCTCAGTGAAGGTCACAGAATCCCAGACTGGTTTGTGTTGGAAGGGACCTTAAAGCTCCTCCAGCTCCAACCCCTGCCACAGCAGGGACCCCTTCCACTGGAGCAGCTTGCTCCAAGCCCCTGTGTCCAGCCTGGCCTTGAGCACTGCCAGGGATGGGGCAGCCACAGCTTCTCTGGGCACCCTGTGCCAGCGCCTCAGCACCCACAAAGGTCCTCAAAATACTTCATAAGCACTAGGCAGAAACAACAGAGAAAGTGAATACACAGCTGGGCAACATGAGAATGAAGCAAGGGGATGCACAAACAGCAGATGGGGGAGCAGGAGGAGGCAGTGATGGCTACAAAAAGCCCAGCGCTGATGCCCGTTACCTGCAGCTGATTTCAGTACGAAACTCCACTGGTTTCATTGCAACAGAGCAAAACCAAGCAAAATGAAAGTAGAAAAAGCCCACGAGCCCTCGTTATCCCAACCCAGAGCTGGCAGGTGATGGAGGCCAAAGTGAGGAGTTACGCAGTGGTTGTCCCCATTGCTGGCCACAAATTCAACAGCAGCTGCAACACAGCCACAGGGGTTTGCTGGAGCGTGGCTCCTCTCTACCTACCTACTAAAACCCAAGAGTTTGTCCCTGAAAGGAAAACCCATTTCACCTTGATTCTGTATGCTGGCTTTGCAGAGGACATCTGCCCCACAACCAACCTCTCAGTGTAAAACCAAAGGCTGACTGAAGGCAGGGGTAAAGCAAAACACTGCATCAGGAACCTGTTTGGTGAGGGAACATGTCCACCTCAAGGGCTGCTTCAGCACTTTTTCCATCGCTGACTAATATTGCCTTCACTGGAAAAACACTTCATTAACTTAGACTGGGAAAAGGCTTAGGAAGCAAAAGTCATCCCACAAAACTCCACCGAGTTTGCCAGCGCCCTGGGAAGAGGGACATCGCCCTGTCCAGCAATGCCTCGACAAGAAACGGGTAGAAACCGGGGGGGATGGGGGGGGGGGGGAACAGCAGGACTGAGCCCAAAACATTGAGTAAAGCCCAGATGGATGGGCAGACGGACGCGCAGACGGGCCAGAGCCGCCCCCACCCCGCAGCCTCGTGTTTCAGCACGCTGTGAGTAAGCCCCGAATTGGGGCTGCAGGGGGATTTTGGGGGGAACCAGGCGGATGTTGGGTTCAGTCCCTGCACCTGCAAGGAAAGGTAAAGGAGCGGAAAAGCCTCAAACTGCCCTTTCTGACCCGGCTGCGAGTAGGAATGCGCTGATACAATAAATAAAACTCTTCCTGAACGTTTCGGGCTCGATCCCAGGCTCTGCCGCCCTCCCCACCCTTGATTCCGTCCCTTTCACTCCAAACTCTCCCCGACTTGCACACCGAATTCCTCCAACGCCTCAATAACAACACACATCTCTCTGTTCTCCCCGTCAGCTCCGCCGCGGGAGGAGAGGGAGCGTTCCCCACAGGAAGGCACCGCCGGACCGGAGCCCTCTCCTGAGGGGAAGAGGAGGGCTTTGAGGGCAAAGGGAAGCGTCTCTCCCCAAACCCAAAAGGTGGGTGCGCGGAAACACACCCCCCCCCCCCAAACAACCCCGAACTCGGGATGCGGCGGGGCTGAGGCCCCGGGGGGCCTGGCGAGGGGACACAGGTTGTGGCGAGACCCCAAGGGCAGGGGTAGGGGCAGAGCCGGCCTGAGGCGGCGGGCAGGGCCTGACCTGGCTCTCAGACGCCGGGATGCCGGACTCCAGCTCGCAGAGGGCGCGGAAGTTCTGCAGCTCGAAGTCGGCGTCCACCTGCAGGGAGAAGGTGAGCTCGCTGCGGTCGCGGCGCAGGCAGAACACGGTGAGCAGCATGGCCGCCCCGCCGACACCACCACCGGGCCCGCCGCCGCCGCCAACTGCTGCCGCCGCCGTCAAGCGCCGCCGTCGCAAAACGCGCCCCTCCCACCAGAGCTGCCAATCAAGGCAGCTCGACCAATCAGTGAGCGCCGGGCGGGACGAGGCTCCGCCCTCTGCCTGCGGCGGCACTGGGGTGGTCCTTGCCCCCCAAAGCTGCCCCAATCCCCTCATTCACCCCTTTAATTGTGACCCCAGGCAGGGACGGAGGAAACCCCTGAGCCGTTTCCTTATCTTTCACCTTGAAACACCCCAAAACAGCCCTATGGGTACCCCAAAACACCCCCAGGGGTGCCCTGAAACAGCTGCCGATTCCACCCCGCTGCCCATTCCAGCCCTGTGCTCCCTCTTCCACCCTGTTCTTGGGATCTCATCTTCTGGCTGCTCCTTCCCTCCCACCCCCATCAATGTGCATTTTGGGGTGCCTCTGAACTCACCTCTTTGCTTATTGGGCACCAAGCGGCTTTTGGGGTGCCCAGCCTTCCTCAGTGACACCCTGGGCCCCTCCGTGCACTCCAGACTCCCCCTTTGCCTTTCAGCACACTCCAGCCCTGGCACTGACTGTTCCCTCACAGCCCACCCGAGGGACACGCGGAGCTGGAGATGTCGTACATGGCGAGAGCCCCACATGGTGAATTCACTCAGCTTCCACCCAGGGAGACAGGAACAAGACTTTATTTTGGAAAAGGGAGTTAATCTCAAACCAAACCCATCCCAACAGCAGCACAAGACAACGGTCACGAATCCATGGGGGAACAGTGCTGGAAGCATTCTGATTCCAGGGCTGCAGACACTCTGGGGACAGATTCCCCCCCACACACACACTCCTCAATGTGATTTTCTTTACTATTAGTTCCTGCTCTGTGTAAAAATAAAAAGACCATAATGCAAATCCAGGGAGTGTCTGGCACCTACCAGTCCTCACACGGATACAACCGAAGGGCCTGAGTGCAGCCCAGTGCCAGGGGAGAGGCTCCTCTCCCTCCATGGGGAGCTCAGTCAGATTTCTCCTTCTCCTTCATGTGCAGGAAGACGATGCTGAACATGAAGAGCCCGACCATCATGGAGAAGGCACCGGCATAGTACGGGTATGCGGAGGGGATGAACCGTTCGTACTGCGTGTGCTGGAGGGGACGCACGGACACCTGGGAGGGGACAGAGCAGCCCTTCGAGTCCAGCACCCCATAAACTCACCCCCCTGGGTGATTAATCCCCCCTGGGCTCACCTGGGTGGAGGAGTAGAGGTGGGTGTAACCCAGGCGGTTATAATCCACTTTGAACTGAAACACGCCATAGACATCCGGCAGCTTGAAGCGCACGCTGTATTTGCCGCCTGGGATAGAGGCAGTGGTGACGTTGAGGTGATGGTGACATTGAGGTGACAGCAGTGAGGGGTGGGATCGGATCCCTAGCAGGGCTGGGGGAACCTACCATTCCTCTTCAGGAAGGTCCGCACGAAGGGATCGATGCGCACAAACTCCAGCTGAATGTCATCGCCATCAAAGGGGACCCACTTGCCATCAGAAAGCTTCTCGATGACAATGCTGTACTCCTGAACAAACCCACAACAGGAGAAGTTAATGAGTGACGCCTGAAAACGAACCTCAGCCCATTATGAGTTCCAGTGTCCCCTCCCAAGCGAGCAGCTGTACCACGAGGTCGGTGACAGTGTAGGCACTGGGAGGTGTGAGTTCCCCCACACGGTGGTGGGACACGGCTCCGACACGCAGCACTCCCTCTTCCTTGAACACCCAGCGGGACAGGGCAATGGCCAGCTCGTAATTACCCGTCTGTGAGTACCTGTGGATGGAGGAACAGTGGGAAAGCACAGCAGCCATGCCCTAAAACCACACCATGTGCCAAACCCCGAACCGTTAATAGATGTGAAAGCAACACAAAGAGATCCAGGGTGAAAGGAGGGAAGTGTCACGAGGATGGAGCCAGGCTCTTTTCAGTAGCAAACAATGAAAGGACAAGGGGTAATGGGTACAAACTGGAACACAAGAGGTTCCACTTAAACCTGAGAAGAAACTTCTTCTCAGTGAGGGTGACGGAACACTGGACCAGGCTGCCCAGGGAGGCTGTGGAGTCTCCTTCTCTGGAGACATTCAAAACCTGCCTGGACGAGTTCCTGCGTAACCTTATCTAGGTGTTCCTGCTCCGGCAGGGGGATTGGACTGGATGATCTTTTGAGGTCCCTTCCAGTCTCTAACATACTGTGATACTGTGAAAGCACTTTGTTTCAAAAAGCCAGAGGAATGCCCTGATCACACCTGGGGAAACCCCAAGCAAAATATGGCATGGAGAACAGCCCCGAGAAGGACTTTGGGGTGTTGGGTCATGAGAAGCTTCCCCATGACCCAGCTTCAGGGAGTGCTTGAGCCCACAACACCCCTGTGTGCTGGGTTGCACCTCCAAAGTGTGAGCCTCTGCTGCGCTCTGGGGAGACCCCCCCCCTCATAGTGCTGATCCAGCTCTTGGCCAACAGCACAAGAGGGACCTGGAGCTGCTGGAGCGAGGCCAGAGGAGGCCATGGAGATGCTGCGAGGGCTGGAGCAGCTCTGCTCTGGAGCCAGGCTGAGAGAGCTGGGCTGGGGCAGCCTGGAGAAGAGAAGGCTCCTGAAGGGGAGACCTTAGAGCAGCTCCAGTGCCTAAAGGGGCTGCAGGAAAGCTGGAGAGGGGCTTGGGACAAGGGCCTGTAGGGACAGGCCAAGGGGAATGGCTTGAACCTGCCCGAGGGGAGACTGAGCTGAGCTCTTAGGCAGAAGCTCTTCCCTGTGAGGGTGCTGAGGCGCTGGCACAGGGTGCCCAGAGAAGCTGTGGCTGCCCCATCCCTGGCAGTGCTCAAGGCCAGGTTGGACACAGGGGCTTGGAGCAAGCTGCTCCAGTGGAAGGGGTCCCTGCCCATGGCAGGGGTTGGAGCTGCAGGAGCTTTAAGCTCCCTTCCAACCCAAACCAGGCTGGGATTCTATGATTTAATTTAAGCATTCCACTATGAACATTTGCAGGAATTTCTTCATTAAACAGCTCCCTAAATATTCCTCAGCCAGGGAGCCAACATACCTCTTGGAGCCAGGAGTAGCTTTCTGCACAGCAGAATTGAAGAAGGCATCACTAAAGAAATCCAAGGATCCACTGAAAACCACACGGGCGTTGTTCCGAGCCTGGAGTCCGGCGATCAGAAGCGTGTTCTTCCCCACTGCATGTGGGTACTGGAAAGGAACGTGTTTAGGAGGGAGTTTAGCCCATGTGGGGATGATTAAAGAAGAGTTAATCTGGGTTTGTGGTGTGGTGAGATAGTAGCTGGCATAGCCTGTGATTAAGGAGAAACCAAGAAGCTTGGAATAACTCAGAGCTAGAGTTCACAGCTCCTGGAACAGGACATGGAGAGACGATTTGGTCTAGGCAGGGTTTTCTTCCATTGCTTCCCTCACACTGGATATATTGCCACCAACAGAAACCCAAGAGGAAGATTCCCACCAGGGCATTGTCAGAAAGCGGACAACAGCCTGAACCTTTCAAGGAGATGAAACACTTGGGTATGTTCCCAAGTGGCTGAAATCTGAGGGACTTAACTGTAGAAGCTCAAAAGAAGAGAAGTAGTAACAGAACGTACCTGAGTAATGGGTTTATCTGGGAAGAAGGAGTAAGAGGTGGAAGAGCCGGTCAGGATATCCAGCACCAGCGGGTTGTCAGGATCAGCCACCATCCTTGCAGGGAGAGGCACAGTGAGCAGCACCAAGTCACTCCGGGACCCCCACAGAGGGACATGCAGCCCCCACCTCAGGTACCCAACTGCCCTCAGATGCAGCAAGGCAGAGCTTGCACACACACAGATATTAAGTATTTCCACAAAATACTGAGTCAAGCTTTGGTGATTTATGTTAAGAAACATTCCTAATTCAAGGACTGAGTTCCTCTGGAGACTTTATTATCATCTGAAACCTTATTATCTGCTCTGTCAAGAGTCACAGCCGCTCACCCTAGGCTTATCTTGCAGCACATCCATGTTTTCACTCTGCATCCCCAACCACCAGCACCTCCCCTCCCTCCCACTCGACTCACCCAACTCCTCGGAACAGGATGGGGTTCAGTGCTGCTCTCCCCACGATGGTGGGAGCCTTCAGGAGGTTTTCAGTGTCTGCAACTATGAGTGTGTGCTAGGAGAAACAGGAGAGAGAACAGTGTCACCGTGGTGCAGGGCAGGAGGGTTCATGTCAGGCTCTCATGGCTTCTCGTTCGATGGGGCTTGGAGCAACATGGAAGGTGTCCCTGCTTATGGCAGGGGGTTGGAACTAGAGGAGCTTTAAGGTCCCTTCCAACCCAAACCACACCATGATTCTATGATTATTTATGACTTTCCTGGAAGGAAGGTGGGAGAACAGAAAACAGATGGAGGAAAAAGGAAAAACAAGGATAGAAGATTCATCCCTAAACCTTTACACAACAGTTCTAATTGAAAATACCCAAATCATCCTGGCAAACCGATGTACCTGGCCTGGGTCGGATATATCATAGTTGTGATGGTCGATGACAGCTGTCCTCTCCTCATCAAACTCAATCCCACACTCGCTGCCCAGCTCTCGCAGTGGATCACCTGAAGGACAAAGCAGATTCTCCATTCTGCAGCACGCTCAGGACATGATGACAGTCTCAGCACTCAAAATAAAGAGTAAATTCAGCTCAGAGCCATGCATTATTCTGCACTCCACAAGTCAGACCCTGAGGAGCAACACAACCTCCCTGTTGCTAAATCCCTGCAGCTAAATCCCTGTTAAAATGGCAGTAAAAGCTGTTTATCACCCCCTTCCTCATAGTACAAACCTTCACAATGAGAAACTGTTTTCACACCATTTTTGCTGCAGGAACTCACAGAAGCACACATAAACTATTTGCTCACTGCAGAGGATAAGCAGCAGAGGTGCTCATTACAAGAAGTGGCTGAAACACCCCAATTAGCTCTGCTGAACGTTTGTACTCACCGATGTCTGAGCTGGCAGCAACGAGGACGCTGCCACCACCATCAATGAAGGCAGTGATGGTCTCTACATTGATGTTTCCACCAAAATCTGAAAGCACACACCGGAAATTCATAAGCAGTTCTCAGAAAGAACACCACAGCAGAATGAAACCACAGCAAACCAGCAAACCATTTCTCTCATGGCTGAAAGAACCTCTGCTAAATGCCTTGGCTGCATCAGCAGTTTGCTACTGACACAAAGGGTAACATCCAAAGCATAACATTTGATTAAAATTCACAGAACAGTTGGAAAACCCCTTCAAAACCGCTCCAAGAGCACTCTGGTACTTACCTTCTATGGAGGGTGAGAAGATGATCAAGTTGTCATATAGAAACTCTCCATATTTAATCAGGGACAGGCCAGCATCATCCGCCGTGCGGAAGGTGAGATCGAAGCCCCTGTCTGCAGCCATGACACAACATCCAACAGTTTAGGGTGTCACAACACTGACACATAAAGCAACAAAGCAGCATCAAGATCCTAAGGTTTACTTCTCCAGTAAACAGCTGTGTTTTGGCGGAAAATAGCTCTGGACCTTTATGGAAGCACCACTGGGGTGTTCCCACATAAAACCAAACGGGCCCAATCCCCTGGAGAGCCGCTTTGTTGCAAGAGGCTGACACCCATCAAGCGGGTACGTGGAACCCAGGCAGGAGCGGGTAAACACCTCCCTGAGCGCCGGGGGACCCCAGGCCCCTCCTCATCCTCACCAGAGGACCCCGTTCTCCTCCCCCAGCCGCCCCCCGAGCCCTACCCGCGAGGCTGCGGAAGAAGAGCGAGTGCGTGTCGCGGAGGTTGCTGTTCTCCAGCAGCACCAGGGTGCGGGGTCCCCCCTCAGCGCCGGACGCAGCCGCCGCCACCACCAGGAGCCACCACAGCCGCAGCACGGCCAGCGCCATCTTGCTCCCTGGCGCCAAGCTTCCCCCGGAAGAGGGTGGAAGAGGGCAGCCAATCAGAACGGGGAGCCGCGCTCACGACGGCCAATCAGCGACAGACAACTCCTCGCCGCAGGCCAATCAGCGGGGCGCTGCCAGCACCCCCCGCGCGGCCACCGTAGCAGCGTGGCGGCGGTGGCGGTGTCCCGCATGGGAGGAGGCAGGAGCGCAGTAAAAGACCTCGAATGGCGGTGTCAGGCTGGTTTATTGCAGCGGTTGAGGGTACAGGGTGCGAGAGGCCATGGCCACAGCGAGTTCGCCTGTGTCCCGCGCCCTGCTGTACAGCAGGAGCGCTTCGGTGCAGAACTGCAGAGATTTGGCGTCTTCTGCGTCAGCAGTGGCAGTTTCAGAGGCGGGGGCTGCCGGACCCCTTCTTGCTCTTGGTGGTGGCGGTGGTGGGAGCGAAGACCAGGGTCTGGAGGCGAAAGGGTCGGGGCCAGGCACGCAGAGCCCCCTCGGGTCCCGGGGCTGTTGTGGGAGGAGGAATGAGGCCTGGTGAACATCTCCCCTGTGGGACACAGAAACGGCCCGGTCCTGCCCCTGTTGAATCAAGGCGGCTGGGCCAAAAAGCTCTCCCTCAAAAGTGAAGTGAGGAAAGCAAAGGGGAAGTCCGGGATTACCTCGGGTTGGGGTCCGGTTGGGGTGCAGGATATCGCGGGTGCGCCGCGGTTTGAAGTAGTTGGAGGCAATGGTCTCGCTGTCACTCCTGTCGAGCACTAGCTTGTAGCGGTCTTCCTCCAGCTGGAGGTGGAAGACACCGTCGTCAGTGCCAAGCCCTGTGCCAGTACACAGGTTGTGTGGCTTGGGAATGGGGCAAAAGTGGCCAAACACCATGATGGGAATGGGGCAAAATGGTAAAACATGACGGGAAAGGAAGGAGGAATGTGCCGTACCGCTGGCTCTCTGCTCTCAGCCAAGGGGCTGTCATGGTAAGGTCTGGATCCTGGCAGGGCTGGAACTACTGTGAGAGGAGACGGGTGTTAAAGGCTCAGCTAATGCTCTCCTGCTCCCAGCACCACTCCCTCACCACAAGGCTCCGAGATTCCCAAAGCGTCCATGTCTTACACAAACTTTCCAGACAGACTCTCTATATACAAGGGAGATTTCAGAACCCAGCAGCACCATCAGGACACTCCTGTTACCTGGAGGCAAGTGGATTTTGTGAACGACAGGCTCTGGAATTTTCCAGCAGCCAGATTCCTCATCCCAGATGGATTCACGCTTGATCTTGTCCAGGTTGCTGTAGTTGCAGTCACGGCGGACGAGCAACTGCGCCTGATCCATCAGCTGTCGGCAGAGCATCAGGTCTCTCTCCAGGCGGCGGATGGTGCTCAGGTAATCGATCCTCTCCAGTTCAAACTCCAAGTGCAGGTCTTTGATCTCAGTCTCAGCAGCTTGTAGCTGAGATGTAAAATAAATCATTGGGGTTATAAAGGAGAGAGCACAGGGATTTGTCAGGTAGAGGGATGGAGATACACAAAAAGGCTTTAATATTTTGGATTTAAAAATCAGAATGAGATTTGGGTGGAGAGGTTATTCCACATTGGATTTAACAAAGATTTCTCAAGTTTCTCCACAGAGTCAAGTCTTTGAGTTCATAGAATCACAGAACAGTTCAGGTTGGAAAGGACCTTAAGATCATCAAGTTCCAACCCCCCTGCTGTGGGCAGGAACACCTCACACTAAACCATGTCACCCAAGGCTTTGTCCAACCTGGCCTTGAGCACTGCCAGGGATGGGGCATTCACAGCCTCCCTGAGCAACCCATTCCAGTGCCTCAGCACCCTCACAGGAAAGAGCTCTTCCCTTATATCTAACCTGAACTTCCCCTGTTTCAGTTTGAACCCATCACCCCTTGTCCTATCACTCCAGTCCCTGATGAAGAGCCCCTCTCCAGCATCCTTGTAGCCCCCTTCAGACACTGAAAGCTGCTCTGAGGTCTCCACGCAGCTTCCTTTTCCAGGCTGAACAGCCCCAGTGTTCTCAGCCTGGCTCCATACAAGGGTAAGAAACCCTCAGAAGTTCCTAGCACTGACGAAAAAGGAAAATATTTCTTAGGAAATATTTCTTTGATTACCTAAATACCAAAATAAAGCAAGTTCTTAATTTGCAGTTTAGCACTGTGCACACACACAAACACGGAGTTTGTCTGGAACTTCCTTGGATTCTGCCTCATCAGAGCAAACCTGGCAAGCTAAAATCTAAGAGCACTGCTTTTGTATTTACTTATTTATATTTATTTATGTTTCATCCCCCCACCTCCGAGCACTTTTGACGGGGTAATTTCTTCCTGCAATGAGCTGATGAGGAGGAAGCTGTGCAATAGATCGCGCACGTCAGCAGAGGGAGTTGCATCCTCTCGTCACCAGACATCACCAGACATCATAATCATAGAATCACGAATTGGTTTGGGTTGGAAGGGGCCTTAAAGCTCATCCAGCTCCAACCCCTGCCACGGCCAGGGACCCCTTCCACTGGAGCAGCTTGCTCCAAGCCCCTGTGTCCAACCTGGCCTTGAGCACTGCCAGGGATGGGGCAGCCACAGCTTCTCTGGGCACCCTGTGCCAGTGCCTCAGCACCCTCACAGAGAAGATCTGCTGCCTAATCATCGTCCAGGCAGTGCCACACACAGAGACCAGCCTTTAAAATGGGTGGGATTTGGGGTTTCACCAACCTAATTCACTGCCCTGAGGGCTGCTGCATCTGGGCATCTAGCAACATGTGCAAACGGCCATATAGGGACTAACACATGTAGAGTATTTGGCACAGCCAGCATCACTTCATAACATGCTGACCTAGAACAACTCCTTCACCTAAAGAGGAAGTACACAGAGGACGAAAGAGATGAGAAGGACAGCGGGGAGCTGCTCACCCTTCTCTGCATCTTCTCCAGAAGCTTGCTCTTGGCTCGAACCTCCTCGTGGATGGAGTCATAGACTTTGAGCAGCACCCACTCACTGCTGTCCTCGGTCGCCTGCTGCAGCGCGGCCACCAGCTGCATGCGCCGCTCATCCGCGTATCTCTTTCGACGCTTGCGCTTCTCCTTGAGGTCCTTGTTTTTCGCCTGCTCCCCCCCTACTACCTGTTGCTCCAGCACCTGCAGCCTGGGAAAGGGAAACACTGCCCTCAGGAATGTGTGTCCTCACCTGGATGGTGTTTGGGAAGCTGCAGTGCAGAAAATAGTGATGTCTGATGAGATTTGCTGCCCTGAGTAACCATGGCAAATCCCACTTTCATTTTGGTTTATGAGAAAGTGAACATGACCGAGCTTCAGTGTGTGTTTGCAGCCCAGAAGCCACCTGTGAGCTGGGCTGCATCACCAACAGCTTGAGCAGCAGGGTGAAGTAGTTGATCCTGCCCCTCTGATGCACTCCGGGGAGATCCCAGTTACAGCACTGTGTGCAGTTCTGGTGTCCTCAACATAAGGAGGACGTGGAGCTGTTGGAGCAAGGGGCTGGAGCACCTCCAGAATGAAGACAGGCTGAGAACACTGGGGCTGTTCAGCCTGGAGAAGAGAAGCTGTGTGGAGACCTCAGAGCAGCTTCCAGTGTCTGAAGGGGGTTACAAGGATGCTGGAGAGGGGCTCTTCATCAGGGACTGCAGTGACAGGACAAGGGGTGATGGGTTCAGACTGAAACAGAGGAAGTTCAGGTTGGAGATAAGGCAGAAGCTCTTCCCTGTGAGGGTGCTGAGGCGCTGGCACAGGGTGCCCAGAGAAGCTGTGGCTGCCCCATCCCTGGCAGTGCTCAAGGCCAGGTTGGACCCCCCAGCTCACAGGGGCTTGGAGCAAGCTGCTCCAGTGGAAGGGGTCCCTGCCCGTGGCAGGGGGCTGGAGCTGAAGGAGCTTTAAGGTCCCTTCAGCCCAAACCGGTCTGGGATTCTAATTCTATTAACAGTTTCTCTGGCCCCAAGGCAAAACATGTTACTCCAAGCACCTCTGCTGACAGTTATGTCTGGAAATTTGTACCTATACACACAGGATTCTTTTCAAAAACCCCATTTCCTAAAATTTATATTTAAATTATTACTGAAATGCATATTGATATGTTCATACATTTCAGTTCTTCTTTCTTGTTTTCAAAGACTCTAAAAGCAAGCCAAAAATGTTTTTGAGCACTCCCAGGGATGGTGACTCCAGCCCTGCCCTGGGCAGCCTGTTCCAATGCCTGAGCACCCTCTGGGGCAGGAACTGTTCCTCAGCTCCATCTAACCCTGCCCTGGTGCAGCTTGAGGCCGGTTCCTCTTGTGCCATCCCTTTTTCCTTGGGAGCAGAGCCCAGCCCCTCCTGGCTCCATCCTCCTGTCAGGCAGTTGGAGGCAGCCATCAGGTCCCCCTGAGCCTTCTCTTCTCCAGACGGAACCCCCCAGGTCCCTCAGCCCTTCCCCATCACACTTGTGCTCCAGGCCCTGTACCAGCTCCATTGCACTTCTCTGGTCCTGCTCCAGCACCCCAAGGTCTCTCTTGTAGTGAGGGGCCAGAGCCGAACACAGGATTCGAGGTGCAGCCTCACCAGTGCCCAGTGCAGGGGCACAATCCCTGCCCTGGCCCTGCTGCCGCACTGGTGCTGACCCAGGCCAGGATGCTGGGGGCTGCCTGGGCACAAGCTGCTCATGTTCAGCTCCATCAATCAGCACCTCTGGGTTTTTTCCCACGAGCAGCTTTCCAGCCACTCTTCCCCAAGCCTGGAGCGTTGCAGGGGGTTGTTATGGCCCGTGTTGAACCTCATCCCATTGGCAACAGCCCATGGGTCCAACCTGTCCAGATCCCTCTGCAGAGCCTCCTGCCCTCCAGCAGATCAGCACTCCCACCCAACCTGGTGTCATCTCCAAACTCATTGAGGGTGCACTCGATCCCCTCATCCTCATCATCAGTGAAAATATTAAACAACACTGGCCCTACCACCGAGCCCTGAGGGACACCACTAGTGACTGGTCACCAACACTATTTACCACCCCTCCTTGGGCTCTCCCAACCAGTCAGTTTTCAACCCAGCTGGCTGCCACAAACCCATGTTTGAAATCAAATTCTTCTCATGTCCCTGACTGGAAATAAAGCCGTACTCCAGAGCTGTTCTCTTTATCTGCACAGGGGCCTGAAACAGAGCAGACAGCTCAGCTTGGCCAGTGCTGTCCAATCAGACAAAAGCCCACTGCTGATCAAACCTCTTCTGATAGTAACCTCTTAATCATCTTCAAACCACCCCAAAGAGCTCACCCCACCGGAGGTATCCTGCTATTGTACTTTACTGTGCTTGCCAAGTAGCCTTTAGTTTTCTTTTGCTTAATACGTGATTGAATCCTTGCTGAGTACCTGAGCTCTCCCAGCCAGCCTGATGTGCAATGCTTTTAACAGGCAGCTTTGCTAATCCCCACTCCTGCAGAACCAAACCCTCCTGCTCCATCTGCACAGAGCTCTGGTGTTAATAGCAGAATTAGAAAAGCATTTTCCACTTCTCTGTTACAAAAAAGAAAGCTGTGATAGAACTGTTAGAGTCACAACACCCTTTTCTTTGGAAAGCTCTCCACTGACAGACAGAATTGCCCTTAAATTACAGACACTGCTACTGGAGATCTCTTAATAGCTCCTTTTTTTAGCTGGAAGAGCCCCAACAGGGCGAATTTGCACCACATGAGCTCACGGTAAAGCTGAAAGACTGGTTAAACCCCACAGAACTGTTCAGATTCAAACTCTATCATCTACAATCTATTTTATGTTAAGTATTTCTAATTTTAATATAATTCCACACAATGGATTAAAAGAGAGCTATTAGCAGAATTTGCTTCCAGTGTGTATTTCTGAACTAGCCCTAAACCCCCATGCTGTGTCAGTGTGCTGTGTTGTATTCTGGAAGGAGTTCTAAAGGAAATCTGTCAAGCTGCCTCTTGCACAGAGGAAAACCTTCAAGACAGGATGCCCCCAAGATGGGCCAAGCACAAGTCTTAAGCCTCATGCTTGAGAGGTGCCCCTAAAATGTGATTATTGGGAAATTTTGGTGTCAGTTGTGGCTGAGGTCTTGCAAACACTGTCAGGTGCAGGAGTTAGAGCAGAAGTGACTCCAGTGACAAGACAGCGTGGCAGAGAACATGCTCCCCTCCTTCTGCTTCCAGGCACAGCAAGCAGCAGAGCCTTACTTGTAGTGGCATTGGAGAGCTCAAGAACCCTTTCCAAGAGGAAGAGGAGGCTGCCCCCAAAGCCTCTTTGGATACTTAAGTTCTGTCAGAGACCACCAAGACTCAACTTTGTAAACACCTCATAAATTCCACCTGCAGAATGCCAGAGAAGGAAGAGACCTCCCTGCCTACCAATTGAGAAAGGCTCAGCAGGAAAGCACACTTGTTTGCTTCCACAGCTGCTGACACAGACATCTCCAGACCTTTTCTCTCATAATTCTGGCATTTGGTATCACAGAATGCTGCAGCTAACAGCTATTTATCTGCCCAAATAGGACAAAGTTGATTTGGGGGTAAAGAACATGTATGTGCCTGGTTTTGTGAGCTGAAGCTCAACAGCTGTAACATGGGGGAAGAACAGGGCTGCCTCTCACCTGCATGCCCAGGAGGCAGTTCACAGTGCTGCCATAGTAACTGACCTGGCAAGAACCTGCTGCTGGTCCACAGGCAGAGCCATCCCCTCAGCAGTGACAGCCACCCCTGTGCCAGCACTCCTCCTGCACACACCACCAGTGTCTTGGACAGCCTGAGGTGCTGCTGGGTCCTGAGGACAACAGGAAACCAAAAGCTTCATCTCTGAAAAGAGCGAGCACCAGAGCACTGACATTACCCACTCAGGTTTATTCAACCTGGTGAGAAGAAGCCTGAGGGGTACCTGGACTGATGCTGGTTCTTCATCTACTGCAGCAACAGTGTCTTTGGGCAAAGGTGGCTCACCAGGAGCAGTTTCAGTCCTTGCGGCAGCTGAAGAGTGAAAAAGGGAATATCCACAGTGTCAGTAACAAGCACTGCAAAATTGAGCATAAAACCTGGGAAAACATCACACAAAGTCTTCACCAAACACTAGGAACATTGTGTCTGGAAGGAAAAGGTCTGTTATTCACCTTCTTATGCTGGTCAGTAAAAGCCATCAGGGTTTTTATATACCCAGAGTATATCAGGGTAGAAACACAGGGGCTGGGAGAAGCTGGATCCTCGTGGTTGCACACAAATAACACCCTCTCTATTTCAGAGGCTGGGAAGTGGCACATTTGTAATCAGATGAGGTGGGGGGGGGGGGAACCTCTCACCTTAGAGAGTGATAGCATTAAAAATGAAGGATGTATGTTCAGGAATGAATATTGGGTGGTGAGTGCTGTACAAGCACATTGCAAAACGTGCACTGAGGCACTGTGGAAGTGTAAATGGAAAGCAGAAATAAAGAGGAGAGCTGGCAGCAGTTTATAGGTATGTGAGAGGAATATCCACCCTTCAGCAGAGCGATGCTGGTGATAATTCACCAGGAGACCAAGGGCTGCATCCCATTTACATGCAATGGAACAGACTGCAGCAGCCACCCCCAGCTTGGGTGTGTGAGTTGTGCTAAGCCAATGGGATCAGGACAGAGCAGCACCTGGAAGACCAGTCACCCCTGCAGCTCAAACCCCTGCTCCAGAGAAACCTGCCCTGAGTTTCTGAAGAAACTCACAGCTACATGGGCAAAAGAAATCACATTTCATCACCTCAAGGATTACCAGCAGGGTCAGGCGAGTCCTGACAGGGAAAAGAAGTCAGGGAAGTAGGGAAGAGGACAAAGCTGGGACAGTCTTATGGAGAGCTGAAGTTATCATTCCTACTGTTGATAAGGGCAGGTTGAGAACAGGGACTGCTGTTGCTGGGGGTGGCACTTGCTGCAGTAGCAATCACTGCCACTTGAAAGTGGCTGCACCAGATTTGACTTTGCAAAAGCGGCTCCTCCCTAGAGCTGGAGGGAACCCTCAGCCTGGTTCACACCCTCCACATCCACACCTGCTTCCTTCCTGAGGCTCTCCTCCAGAGCAGACAGCTTGCGATCATAGTGAGCCCTCAGGCTACTGATGTCCTCCTCCAGGCGGGCACGGGATGCCTGCTCTGCTTCATAGTTAGCCTTTAGCCAGGCCAGTCTCTCAGCGTACTCCTGAAAGGCACAGCACACAGCTTGGGCACCATACACAAGGTCCCATCGAGGTCACAGTCGTGTCCATCCCAGTAAAATTTCCCATCCTAGATTCATTTGACTTTTACTGTGATTTAAGTCACCACAGTAGTGATGGAAGGGGACTAATTAGCCCTAGAAAACACTGTCTTGGGCAGATGTGGTACCCTGGAAGGGCTCTGTAAAGAGCAAGGAGTTTTATTTCCTTCTGCCCCCCAACTCCTTATTCTTCCTTCTGCTCCATATCCCTTCTTTATCTTCACCCTTGTACTGATCTTAATGTCTTTGACTACTGGTTTCCTCGTCCCCATTTCTCCCTCCTCTGAAAGGAAGAATCTAAGTTTCACTTCAAAAATTATTCTTGGGAATCCATTCTAATTCATCTCAGAGAGGTGGGAACAATGCTGAGAGAAAACAGCATTGTAAACAAGGCTTCCATCAGCACAAGTTCTGTCCACAGGAGAAGACCAAAATAGCATCACAGAATCCTAGAATGGTTTGTGTTGGAAGGAACCTTAAAGATCATACTTGTAATGATTATTATAAACCTCCACAAGCCTTAGTCAAAGTCACTGCAGGATACCTCCTCCTGACTTACTTCTCTGATCAGCTGCTTCTCTGCTTCGAGATCTACCTGGGGTTTGAAGAGGGGAGGCGACTTCGCTGCCAGGTGAGCAGTCTCAGCATGCAGAAGCCCTACAAAGCAAAGCAGAAATAAAAATCACTCCCAATTTCTGGGTGGGATTGTCTGTAGAATGCTGGAAACAGAACAAAGAACCTGGCTGCTGGCAAAGAACATCACGATCCGGGTGCTCCTTTAAACTGTGCTCATGTGCCAGCATCTGTGCTGCCAAAACACCCACTGGCCTCTGCCTCTGTAGGTGCAGGAGAGAAGGAGTCAGCTCAGAGCAGAGCGGGAGAGGTGTAAGCTTTGGGTATATTAAAGTGAATATAAATCTAATCTCCTTCACAAAGTAAAAGGAGAGTCTTTTCCAGGGCTATGCTAACAGGTTTGGAAGATAAGAGACACTGGCAAGGAGATGAAAGGTGCAAGGAGATTGCCTTTGTTCTTCACAGATGTTTCTGAAAGGTGGCAGAAAAGGGGAAAAAAAAATAATCTTACAGTCTTCTTGCTCTGCTTGAAGTTGTGCTTTTTTTTGTGGGGGTATTTCTCAAAAGGGGATCAACTCCCTAAGAATGCTCTTATCACTTGGCTCCCACATTTGCTACTCCTATTTTATAGCAAGGAGCATCTCTGAGGCTGGGCTGAATCCTCAGTGGGAACACAGTGCTGCTTTCTGTCAGCAGTGACTAAAACTCTTGTAGCACCAAAAATTCATAGTGTAGGAGAACAGGGGCTGAGTGCTAACTTTGAAAACATATATATATATATATATATATATATATACACACATAAATATAGATACAGTTAATAGAGAATTTTACATTGCTATTTCTTTTACAGCTCATTTTTACTCTGCCAGCTGAAACCTCTTCTTTTACTGACCAAATTCAATCCAGAATGAATGACCAAGAAGAATCAAGGATTTGAATCATGTCATTTTCTAACAGAGTCAGTCATTATTGAAAATAGTGGAGAGTTGAAATGTTTTTTACCAGTGGAATGAGGTCGATTTGGCAACAGTCCATTACCAGAATGAAGAACTCCTCCTCCAACAGGGAAGGGAAGGGTTGAGGTGAAATCCAGTGAGCATTTTAATGTAAAACCCTTTTTCCGGACAAAGATAAAACATCTCTGCAGCCACTAAGGGCTCTCCTACCTGCTGAGTTATTCACACCCATCTGTTCAGCTAGGATGGCCTTCAGCTTCTTAATCTCCTCCTGATACTCCCTCAGCAAAGTATCCTTGGGGTCCTCATTGATACAGGGCTTGTTCTTGATGTTTCTGGCTCGATTAGCATAGCGCAATGTACTGAGGCTCTCATCATAGTTATTACCAGCTGGAGATATGCACGCAACCATCAGAGTCTTGGTGTTCCCCCCAAGGGAGTCCTGCAGCAGCCTGGTCAGCTTGGAGTCTCGGTAGGGGACGTGCTTACACTTGCCATCAACCAGGGCTGAGATGACGTTGCCCAGAGCGGAGAGGGAGAGGTTGATATTGATGGCCTCTTTGAGCCGCTCCCCTATGGCTCCAGTTTTTGACTGTCTCTCGCTTCCTGCCAGATCCACTAAATTGAGTTTTGCAGCCCTGAGGTGGTCCAGCCCTCGCTCATCTGCAAGAGAACAATTCCAGGTTAAGCTCTTCTTAAGAGGAAGCATCTTAACATGTTTTAGTGCTTCTTTGGACAAGATCTTGCAGAGTAAAAATTCATGCCCATTTTTACTCACCCAGTGAGTTCTGAACACACACCCCCCCTCCACATATTTCCACAGTGTTTAGAATTCCACACAAGTAACAAGGTCAGACCATGACTGCAAGAAACTGGGACTGTGCTTAGCCCAAACCACCTGGATGAGGAGACAGATCTCAGTCAGTGCAGAGACAGGCCCAGTGAGCTGGTGCCATTCCCATTATAATGTTTTAAGGCAAGAAAAGACAGGAGCTGAAGTTACAGCTGGCTCCCCAGCTACATAAGTGCACACCTTACAAGTGTATCATGCTTCCTTACTTGCATTTTGAGGCTGGAATTATGTGTTGACACAAATTCCCTGTGATATACGTCCACTTGCTTTAGGAAGCCCTCAGTTTCACTGGCTAACTTTACTTTCCCAGCCTCATGCAGAGCAAAGACTTGGACACACACTCCCAGATCCCAGACTACTGTTTTAAGCACTGGACCATGCTCTTGGGTGTCCGTACCCCAACCATTCCTTAGATTGCAGCCTACATTCAAGGCAAGACCTCCCTTAGTGATCCAAGCAGAGAAAGCATCAAGGTTTTAACCAAGTCCACCCTTTTATGGACAGACTTTACAAATCCCAGCCTTGAACTGAGTCAGAGTTAAGATTTATGGCTGTGGACAACACCTAAACTTGAGCAATGAATAATCTGATGCATGAGGGAAAATGAAAAGTTCACAGGTAAACACCCCACCGCCCCCAAAGACCCCTACATTTTATTGCCACAGGGTATTTTCCCACTTACAGCAATAGATTGTTAACTGTGGGACTTCACATTTGCCACTGAACAAACTTGTTTCACTCCAGATCTTTGTGGTGTGTCAAGACATGGGAGGACAGGAAAAAAAATAGACGGAGCTGAAAGAGAGCACCTCTCACTATCTCTTCTGAGTGGCCAATCACAAAAAGAGTTTCTGACCTTTTCCCTCCTTCCCCCAGTTTATGTTATCACTGAGGGGCAATTAAAAAGCAGGTTTGGTTCCTGCCAATCCTTTTGCCCATGGTGAGTGTTTCAGTCTTGGAGCTCAAGTGTGTTGGTTTCTATGGTGTGACAAGGTCCCCAGGCTCTTGATAAACGCCTGCAGCAGCCTCAGAGTCTTGTCTCATACTCAGCCCATTGCACAAGCACTGGCTATCATCCTCATTAACAAATGAATCCTTAAACACAAGGTAAAAGAATCAAACATCTGCTATTCTTAACAACAGCAAAAACACTGATGGTGACTCGCACATCTCTAAACATCTGCAGCCAGAGAGCCTGGTATTTGCCATCATTCCTGAACGTGGTACTTCAAAAATGAGCAATTCCAGTCCGCATCATTGCAAAGAGAACCTTTAAAGCAGCAGCTCCCTGTAAATTGTCATTTACTGTAGGTTTAACTGGAAAATAAGTTTGAACTACTCCATGCACCTCTTCAAGAAACCTAAAGATGACAACAAAGCCACCAACTTCATTAGCTGTTTCAACTAATGATAACACAAGTAGAACCATTCAGTTGTAAGAATTGTGCCTGACCCCACAGCTTTCTCCTGACGTATTCCATCTCTCTCCTGTTTAACTGCCAAACCAGCAAGTTTCCCACCTGCCATCCTGTTCCATGTAACAAGTTTTCAAAGCTTTAAATCAGAGAAATTCAAGCTAGATTAGGAGGCCTGCACCAATCTGGGACACAAGAGTGTAAATGTTTTTTTTTCCTTGTTAGGATTAAAGTTGGGATTTTATGGACCCACATAGTGCAGGGATTAGCATCCACTGGCTGTGCTACCCCCCCCTCCCGTATTTTGGGTAGAGGAAAATGAGGTCTTGTCACCAACATCTGGAACCACAATTTAGGAAGACATTGTGTAACTTTCCCATGACTGAAACAGCTGAAGAAAACGAAGCCAAATTGTTTGCAGCCTCGGTGAGGTCAAGAGAGAATATATGAGACTAAATCCTTTCTTAGTCCCAGAATAAAAATCCTTTTGATGTTTGTGTTCAGACCAAGCAAGGCAGCTTTACCAGCTAAAGAACTGTCAATGGAAATGAGATACTTGAGAAAGGAAAATTATTCACTAAAACATTATGAAGGGATTCTTTTATTCTGTCTTTAAAAGATGAGCCCTATGATTAAGCACAGTGGAGGAACTGTTGCATGAAATGATGTGACTTGCATTGCAAAGGAGGGCAGACCAGACACATAATGACAGAAGTTTCTCCAGTCACTGTATGGGCTGTGAGATTTATCCCACTTCACTGGAGAAAAAGGTTTAAGAAGATAAAGGAATGGAAAGAGAATTAAATATGTTCCCAGTTTGAGTGCAAGACATTTCACTCCCAAGGGGGAATTGAGGAAAAGTAAAAGACTTTGGCTACTCAGCCATTTCACACTGTGAAGAATGTTCACACCAGGGCACAATTCTGATGTCTACCAGACCTAAAATCATTTAGGCTCCCAGTTTAGCTGCAGGGTGTCTGGTCAGACCACACAGATTCTGTGCTCTGCCAGGTCCAGGCCTACCACAGCACATCCAGCTACCTACCTACAGTGCAGATCTCAATATTGACAGTGAAGATGGCGTGGGACCGGGACGACTCCTTGTTCATGAGGGTGTAACCCACTGCACGGTTGCTACAGCCTGTTTCCATGAGCTGCTCACACTGTACAACACTGTGCACAGTGTGCAGAGAGAGCCCCTTCACATACACCCCATTCTCTGGGTGCTCCTTCAGCTGCAAACAGAGGGAACACAAGACAGGTTAGAACAAGACATACTGAGACTGCAGGAAGTCGTGCTGGGAACTAGAAGCTCAAGGGCTATGAGAGTTTTGCCTTTCAAGTTAAACAATGCTAAGGCAAAACCATATCTGACTGTCATTAAAAAGCTGTAGTATTTCTGAAGAAGGAATAAAACCAGACAAAAATAAGGAACCTGTTTCATGGCTCTGCAGGGAAAAAGAACTGAAGTTCGCTGATTGATTCAGACATCTCCTGCCAGGCCATGAGAAACTCAGGTTCTCTGTGCTGAGCTGCCTTCTGCCTCCCCTGTTATTAAGCTGTGCATTTGAAAAGAGAACTGAAATGTTTTTCACCTATTATGGCAAAGGCTCCAGTATCTCTTCACTCATAGGGAGCTTTTTTTAAAAGCAAAGCACAGATTCAGCAGTCACAGACACTGTCACTGCTGCTGTGCTGAACCCCTCGGCTCTGAGAGGGCGGCTTGATCCCGCTGACAAAACTCCCATAGTCACACCCAGCACTCTCAGGATTTTTATCCAGATAAATTCATTTTTAAGATGCTCTAAAATCCTATTGAGGCACCTGGGTGGAGACAGAGTGGTAAATACCAAACAGCAGCTTTCCAGCAATTATCAATCATGCAGAAGAAAAACCTCATCCTGCATCCAATAGATGACTAAATGTTCCAAATCCTGACTGACCCATCAAGCCTACATAAAACTCCCAAAACAATCGAGATCCTGCACGCCCCCCTCCACACTCTGAATTTAAAGGAGCTGGATTCATTTTCAACAGCTACATTATACCCCACATCTGCTGAGTTCATAACCAAAAGTCTATTTTTATGGTGGCAGCTGCAATATGGTTGTCATGACTTGGTGTCACAGAGTGATAGATGCTACATTTGGCAGTGTGACTCCCAGAGAAGAGCCCCAGAGACCTGAGTGATGCACTTGCCACAAAAAGCTGATTAAAATAGAGTGTTTGCTGTTAAAAACTGCACAGAACTGAGTGGAAGTGGCTGGAAACGAAACCAGGCAGGATTTTAGCCTTGTTTTAAAGTTGTGTCTGGCCAGAATGAACCCAGTTACAGAATCACAGTGTTCACACACTGTGACTTTTGCCTGTGCTATAGGAGAACCCTATGGCTGGCCCAGCTGTATTTGAGGATGCTGAAGAGTCCCTGAGGAGCAGCCAACAAAGGACACGGCTGTTTAATTCCACCACAGATTGACAGGGGCATTTCCTTACAGAGCTCAGTAAAACCTACTCTTCACATGGTTTCATACCACAGGAGGTGACTGTGGGCTTAAGAATCATCAGTCCTTAATGTTAAAAGGCAAAAGAGCAATCAGAAATGGGACTCTGGAGGAGAATTGTGAGACACAGGAAATCCCAAACACAACTACAGCCTGGGCAGAGACTGGATGGAGAGTAGCCCTGAGGAGGAGGATGGTGGTTGGTGACAGGATCCCCAGGACCCAGCTTCAGTGAGCGCTTGAGTTCAGAACCCCCCCGTGTGCTGGGCTGCACCCCCAGAGCGTGAGCAGCAGCTCAGGGAGGGGATCCTGCCCCTCTGCTCTGCTCTGGGGAGACCCCCCCTGCAGCCCTGATCCAGCTCTGGGGCAGCAGCACAAGAGGGACCTGGAGCTGCTGGAGCGAGGCCAGAGGAGGCCATGGAGATGCTGCGAGGGCTGGAGCAGCTCTGCTCTGGAGCCAGGCTGAGAGAGCTGGGCTGGGGCAGCCTGGAGAAGAGAAGGCTCCTGAAGGGGAGACCTTAGAGCAGCTCCAGTGCCTAAAGGGGCTGCAGGAAAGCTGGAGAGGGGCCTGGGACAAGGGCCTGTAGGGACAGGCCAAGGGGAATGGCTTGAACCTGCCCGAGGGGAGACTGAGATGAGCTCTTAGGCAGAAGCTCTTCCCTGTGAGGGTGCTGAGGCGCTGGCACAGGGTGCCCAGAGAAGCTGTGGCTGCCCCATCCCTGGCAGTGTTCAAGGCCAGGTTGGACACGGGGGCTTGGAGCAAGCTGCTCCAGTGGAAGGGTTTGGAACTAGAGGAGCTTTGAAGTCCCTTCCAACCCAAACCACTCTGTTATTCTCCGATTAATTCTATGATTCAGTGACACAGAAGAAAGCAGTAGGTCAGTCTGGCTTTTCTTTCTCCACAGGACACAAGTCCCCTAATTACTGGGTGGAGGCAGCAACAGGCAGCTGCTGTTACCAGTGGGATGGTGTTACCCTGGCAACTGTTCTGCCCAACTCCTGCCCTCCCAGTGCCAACTGCAGTCGTCATGGAAACCGATGTCACTGCTGATGTGGAACAAAAGCTGGGAAACTGCAGCAAGCGCCTTCTGAACCATCCAGTCTCCTTCTCCCACCCTCCCTTCTACACACACAGGCCAAGCACACTTGGATCATGGAGCAGAGAGGGGTTTGCCTCCTTTAAAGCCATGGTAAAACAATACATCTGCCCCAGAAGATGGGTCTGTCACCATCTCCTGTGCAGAAGATGGTGCTGGTGCCTCGGGTTTCTTCACCAGGGCAGTCCTGCAGAAAAGGAAATTGGACAGAAGATCTGCAGCTCCCACCAGTAATACATGTAAAAACATCTGCAAAGCCACTAAGAAGGAAAAATCAGCCCCTGCTTGGGATTTCAGGACTGTTTTGCCTCCTGTGCTCCTGGAAACTGCCTTCCCCATATGTGCCCATGGGGAACAATGTCTGAGGCATCTCCTCAAAGAAAGATCAGCCTTTTTTGTTTTAGACAGATAATGAGCTACACTACATCAGATTTGTATGGCACAGAATCCTCCCGCTTTAGAGACAGCTATGAGAGGAAGAGATTAGGAAGAAATTGCCCCATCAGTACTTTATTCCATCCTTGTCCAGTAATGACTTTCACAGTAAGCTATCAGCCACTATCCAGTCAGACACACAGGACAAGTTTGACTGGATCCTGTTCCTCCTGCCACTGAACCTTCACTAAAGTCCCTCAAAATCTCCTCTTGGCTTTCATATTCATCACTATGATTTCATAGTCTGGCATTCAGCTTCTGACAGAGCATATTATTGCACTTCTGTGAGACATTCATGGTAACACTTATCTGAGGAAATTAAAGCACTTCCTAACTAAGACAAACTGACTCTGCCTCACCTCCAGCTTCTGCTTGGTATCAGCTCCTAGTAGGTCTCGTATGTCTTCATTGTAAATCTCCAGGTAGGAAGCTCTCACCAAGAACTTGGCATTTTCAGCACACTGCTCCCAAAGAGGAAGGATTTTCAGGTGAGGTTCTCCAAATGGAGGCAAGCAGGCAGCCCACGTTGCCCCTCAGCGCCAGCTGGGTGCCTTCAGCACTTCATGAAATCTCTGCTGGCATTTCATTCCCAGGTGTAACCACTCCACACACTCACTATAGGGACTTTTGGTCCTTAAACACCTCAAGTGGGAGCCCATGAAGTCACAGAGATGAGGGTGCAGCTCATCTGACTATATAGGAGCCTCAGCTTTAGGAGAGGCAGCATACCCCAAAGCCTGGCCCCATTCTTGCTGCTGAGTGCAATCAGCACTCCCTCCTCAGGGTATGACACAAGAAACATCTTTCTAGATATCATGCCATCTTAAAACAGACCTCTTTTACGTTGTTACCTACCTGCACACTCTCAAAAATGTGCTCAAATGCCCTGGGAATTATGCCTTTCTGTGCAGAAGGCTCCACAACTCCCTGCATGGTGAATGACTTCCCACTGCCAGTCTGACCATAGGCAAATATGGTGCCATTGTAGCCTTCAGTGACGCCCTGGAAATGGAGGACAATCAAACAGAAAAGGCATTATCTTCACCCTTTGGTAACTGGAAATGCACTGTCCAGATTCAATCCCACCTCAAAAAAGGTATTTTAGGGGAAAAGCTGGAAATAAACATCGAACAACTACTTGATCTTCACATGTCATCAGAGTATAACAACTAAATAACACATTCTGCTGGCTTATAAACGGAAAACCTGCAGAAATGCAGGTGTTGAAAAGTGGAAGGGCAGTTGACAACACTTAGAATAACAGAGTATTTTTGTCATAGGGCAGAAAAGTCTTGTGAAAACCAGAGACACGAATGGAATGCCAGAATAGGGTGGCCAAAGGGATGGTCTCTAGCTTAGAGCTGTTTTCACTTGGAGAGCTGGCTAAAAGAAAGCCTCATCTTCACTTGTTCCTATTTCAGAGAAGCATTGGAGGCACATTAGATATTTGGATTTTTTAAGGTTTAAATAAGAACCCCCCCAACTTTAATAACATACTGTTTCAGACCCTGCTTGTTCCCATGATCAGGAACTTCCATCTTAAGAATACCATTAGCCATTTCATCCCTTCTAACAAAACTGGATTATTTGGGGGGGGATGTTGGGCTTTTTCCCCTTTAACTGGTTCCTTCCTCACCCTGGCTGTTTGCCATGCAGCAAATGGATCCCCTCTCATTTTACTACTCTAAGCCAGGCTGAGGCTCCCTGTCTTCAGTGAAAATATCCCTAAAGCGATCAGGAGTATTGTTTATTCCCTTCTTCCCTCATCACCTTCAACTGCAGTCTCTACCCAGCCACTGTCTCTAGGGCTTGCTCAGGGGGTTCATCTTTCACATAAACATCTGCCTAAAACAATTTAATGTAATTCTATCCTCAGTGGCCCTCTGGCTGCTGAAAAAGTTGTTTTCCTTCCCAATTTCCCAGCCCACTGCTGGGACGCTGGTTTGCCCACCCCAGGGTTGCAGCTAAGCTTTTTGAAGCAGGAAACAGGGCTGTTTCTGTCCATAAATCATACCAGCTGGGGGTCACCTATCCATGTGGAACTCCTCAGCCCATGTCCTGAACTATGTGTTCATAGAGTCAACCAGATTGCAAAAGACCTTTAAGTTCATCAGTTCCAACTGTTCCTCAGCACTGCCAAGGCCACCACTAACCCGTAGCACTGAGGGCCTCATCTACACAGTATGTGAACACTTCCAGGGGTTCCAGCACTGCCGTGGGCAGCCTGTGTCCCTTGTGTGCGTGGCTTGCTTCAGGCACCACTCACCTCCACGAGCGGGTAGGCAATCTCATTGTAGATCTGCTCCGTGCTGTGCTCTGGGCAGTACGCCCCATCGAAGGTGAACTGCTTGGGGGGCTCACCGGCAGCGGCAGGGTTCTGCAGGAAGCACTGACCCCGGGTGCTCTCCATGCTCACAACCGCCTTGCAGCCAAGAGCTCTCTCACGCACGTTCATGGGCCGGCAGCGCACGATCACCTTCACCGCCTCCGAAGCCATTCAGTCCTGGTCCGGCTCAACCCCACACGCGCTCACTTGAGGGGCCTGGGAGGGCCTAACCCCGAGGCCTGCACCCCTGAATGTGGAGCCCCCCACAGCTCGGCATGGGAAGGAGGCACAAGGAGGGCTGGGCGAGAAGGGGAGGCTACAGAGGAGGAAAGCTAGAGGGGGGTGAAGGGGAGACTCGGAACCAGCCTGAAGGGCAGCTAGGGCAGGCGGGGGGAGGCTTTGCGCGGGGCAGCCTGAGGTAATTGTGGGGAACCCGGAGAAGCCCAACGGGGACTGAGCGAGGCAAAACCTGAGGTGAGCCTGGAAGTGTCAGGCGCCTGTAGGCGGCAGGAGGCAACGCCTGAGGGAGCCGAGGAGAACCCGAGGCGGGCCGGGACGTGCAGAAGGCGCCGGGCAGCGCGGCAGATCCCTGTCCTGAAGGGACGCGGCGGGAGCGCGGCCGGACGCAATGCGCATGCGCGCAGCGACCCCACGCGGTTGCCACAGCAACCCCACGCGGTTGCCATAGCGACCGGGGAGTGGAGGGGTGGGGTGGGGGTGGGAATGACGGCAGCTCGGCGGGAGGCCACGTGACTGCGGGCGCTCGTGCCCGTGCGTGTGCAAGCGCGCGGGGTGCACGAGGGCGCGCGGCGGCGGGTGCACGAGGGTGTGAGCGTGCAGGAGCACGAGAGGGCAAATGCACGAGTGCAAGTGCATGAGTGCAAGTGCACAAGTGTCCGAGTGCGGCTGCAGCCATGCGTGAGTGTGCAAGAGCACAGGGGCCTGAGTGTGCAAGTGCATGAGAGGGCAAATGCACGAGTGCGAGTGCACGGGTGTCTGAGTGCGGCTGTAGCAATGGGTGAGCGTGCAAGAGCACAGGGGCCTGAGAGTGCAGGAGCACAAGGGGGCAAGCGCACATGTGCAAGTGCATGAGTGCAAGTGCATGGGTGTCCGAGTGTGGCTGTAGCAATGTGTGAGTGTGCAAGTGCATGAGTGTCCAAGTGTGGTTGTAGCCATGCGTGAGTGTGCAAGAGCACAGGGGCCTGAGTGTGCAAGAGCACGAGGGGGCAAGCGCACGTGTGCAAGTGCGTGAGTGCAAGTGCATGAGTGTCTGAGTGTGGCTGTAGCAATGTGTGAGTGTGCAAGAGCACAGGGGCCTGAGTGTGCAAGTGCATGAGAGGGCAAATGCACGAGTGCAAGTGCATGAGTGTCCAAGTGTGGTTGTAACCATGCGTGAGCGTGCAAGAGCACAGGGGCCTGAGTGTGCAAGAGCACGAGGGGGCAAGCGCACATATGCAAGTGCGTGAGTGCAAGTGCACGAGTGTCTGAGTGTGGCTGTAGCCATGCGTGAGCATGCAGGAGCACAAGAGGGCAAATGCACGAGTGGAAGTGCATGAGTGCAAGTGCACAAGTGTCTGAGTGCGGCTGCAGCAATGTGTGAGTGTGCAAGAGCACAGGGGCTTGAGTGTGCAAGCGTGAGCGCATGGTGCAGTTCTGCAAGCGTGCGTGGGCACCAGGGCACACGTGCACGGGCCTGCGAGTGCGCGAGTGTGAGTTCACGAGGGTGCGTGAGCGTGCACCGCGGTGGGAAGAACAGACCGGTAGCACAACAGCCATTTATTGCCAGCGCACGCAGCCGCGGGAGGGGGCAGATAAGGCAGACGGCAGCGGTTTAAAGCTCAATGGGGATGTTGGGGGGGCCGGTGCCCTAAAGGGGGTGCCTGGGCTTAACCCCGCTCATGCTGGGCCCCGACGGGGCCGGTGGGGGCCCAGGCAGTGTCCCCCCAGGCGCTGGCTCCGCCACCGGGGTCCTGCTCCTCGTAGCCGGGGTTGCGGCGGCCAGGGGCCAGGCGACAGAAGCAGCCACCTGGTGCGGTGGAGTAGTGAGCCAGGAGGGCAGCCACGCTGGGGAACTCGGTGTTGGAGTGCTGCCATGGGGGAGACCGTAGAGGTGAGACCCTGCAGTGCCCATGCACTGTGCACCCCTGCACTGAATGCACCCGTGCACCAAATACCAGTGTTGCCAAATGCACCCGCAGACCCAAAGGTGCCTACGCACCAATGCATGAGGATCAAACGCACCCATGCATCCACTGCGCCCACATGCTGTACTGATGTACCTGTGCACTGTGCAACCACCCACAGCTGCACCCTGTGCGCTGATGTATCCACAAATCCAAGGCACCCATGACCCGTGCACCCGGGAATGAAACACACACCAATGTGTCTGTCTAGCACGTAGCCATGCATGGATGCACTTGTGCACCCATGAAACAACTGTATTGACACACCAAAGCATGGAAGCACCCATGCACCCACACCCATTGGTACCCATGCACCATGCACTGAGGCACCCATACACTGTTGCCCCCACGTATCAATGCACCTATACACCAATACCCCTGTGCATAGATGCATCAAATCTACTTACACAGTGAAGCAAATGCACTAATGCACCCATGCGCCCATGCAATAATGCACAAATGCATTAAATGTACTTACACAGTGATGCAAACCCACAATTTCACCAGTGCATCCATGCACCAATGCATCAAATGCACTAACTCTGCATTAAACACACAAATGCACCAATGCATCCATGCACTGATGCATTAAATTCACTTACACAGTGAATTAAATGCACCAGTGCACTAATGCGTCAAATGTGCTTACACCAAAGTGCATCCATTCACAAACACATCAAACGCCCTTACTGGGTGCAATGGTCGCACCCCCGCAACCCCAACACAAACACCCCAAGCACCCCCATGTGCTGGCCATGCACTGCCCTCACCTCCACGCAGAACCTGCCCTGGTGTGTCCTGACGAGGCCGTAGGTGACGATGCCGCAGGGCGCCCGCACCCACAGGCACCAGCGCTTGGCCAGCCCGGGCTCGGGGCGCAGCAGGAAGGCGCCGGGCACATCGCGCCGCAGCAGCGCGATCCCGCTGTCCCTGCGGATGGGATGAGGCGGAGGGTGGGTGAGAAGGGGAGGGATTGGGAAGGGATGGGGATGGGAAGGGATGGGGATGAGCAGGGGGGTCCTGCGCACCCACCTGGAGATGCCTGCGAAGCCCCACACGCTCTCAGCAAGGATGCTCTCATTTTCAGGGAGAAAGGCGAAGCTCCTCGCTCCTTTGCTCTCCCATCCCGTTGATGCTGTGGGAGCCCATTAATCCCCTCTTCACCTCCATACACCCCATGACATTAGGGCTGTGTGTGCCCCCCGTGCCTCAGCTCCCCCCCGGCACTCACCAGTGTCACGGGGCGGCTGATGGAGCTGGCTCTCAGCCCCACAGTCCCGGTAAGCCCCCGAGCGCAGCACCTTGCTGCGGATGGCTTTCTTGCGCACCAGCACTGGGGAGCAGTAGGGGTTCCCGGGGCGCCAGGCTCTGCCCTCTGCCTGCCGGTCCTGGGGGTGAAGGGGCTGTCAGAGGGGTGATGGGGAGGGGGGTGTCTCATGGTGTGAAATGTCACATGAGACTCCATGGAGAAAAACGCTGCGCCGAAAACGGCACACCAGAAATGACACCCCGAAAATGACACCCCAAAAATGACTCCTAAACAATGACACCATGAAAACGACACCTAAAAATGACACCCCAAAAATGACTCCTAAACAATGACACCTAAAAATGACACCCCAAAAATGACTCCTAAACAATGACACCTAAAAATGACACCCCAAAAATGACTCCTAACAATGACACCATTAAAATGACACCTAAAAATGACACCCTGAAAATGACTTATAAAAATAACAGCCCAAAATGGACATCCTGAAAATTACACCCTAAAAATGACACCCCAAAAATTACTCCTAACAATTACACCCCAGAAATGACACTTAAGATGACATCCCAAAAATGACATCATGAAAATAACACCCCAAAAATGACACCCTGAAAATGACACCTTGAAAATTACTCCTAAAAACGACACCTCAAAAATGGCACCCCGAAAATGACACCCTAAAAATTACTCTTAAAAACGACACCCCCAAAATGACATCTAAAAATGACACCCTGATAATCATGCCTAAAAATGACACCCTGAAAATCATGCCTAAAAATGACACCCTGAAAATGCTACACCAGAAATTACACCCAAAATAATGTCACCCCAAAAGTGCTACACCAGAAATGGCACCCCAAAAACTACACCCTGAAAAGGCCACACCAGTATTATCACCCCAAAAATGACACCCCAAAAGATGCTGTGCAAGACCTCATGACCGAAAAACCCTACGCAAGGAACGCTGTGCTAACCACCATGCAACAATGCTGTGCGCAAGCCCACCCTGCAGCCCATGCTGAGCGAGAAAATGCCCTGCAAAAGGCACTGCACAAAAAACGCTGTGCAAGAAATGCCCTGCAAACCCCATGTGAGGAATGCCCTGCAGCAGAGCACGCCGCCGAGAGCACCCTGCCCAAACCACTGCAATACATCACCTGCAGAACCGCTCTGCAAAGATCACCATGCCAAGAAAGCCATGCAAGGAGATGCCGTGCAACAGATGCTCTGTCGGGAACGCGACACAAAGAGATGCCATGCAAAACACCCTGCAGAAGCGCTGTGCAGAAACCACCTGGTCCAAAACGTTGTGAGAAAAGGCCATGCAAGACAAAAGCATGCAATAGGCTGTTAGAAATGGGCTGTGCAGGGGGGGCTTGCGAAACGTGCTGTGTAAATACATGCCATGCTAGGGCAGGTTGTGCAAAACGCCGTGGGTACCCCACTGTGCAAAGAGGTGCTGATCAGAGCAGACGTGTGAGGAAAGGCTCTGTGAACCACCACGCCAACCAGGCTCGTGCATTGATGCACCATGAAAAGAGAAGGCAAACTGCAGCATGAAGTGCTGTGCACGTCTTGCTGTGATAGAAACTGCACAAAGAAAAGGCTGGGCAAGAAAAAAGCCATGCAAAAAGCAGGCAAAACCATGCTAAAAACCACACTGCGGAGGGAAGGGCCCTGCAGACCCCGCATGTGTGAGTGCGCCATGCACACAGTGCGTGAGCCCCCATCACCTACCCCTGCGCCCACGGAGCCCAGCGCGGGCAGGCGGCGGAAGGACACGAGAGCGTTGACGTTGCGCGACACCTCCTCGGGGTTGAGCGGCTCCCGCAGCACCCCCGGCCCCGTGGGCTCCCCGTCGGGCGCCTGCTCCTCGGGGTGAGCCAGGAGGTAGCAGAGCTGGAAGCAGCGGCAGAGCAGGAGATGCAGGGTCTGGACCTGCGGAGGCAGGAGATGCCGGGTATTAACCCAATGGAAGCGAGAATGAACTGTAACAACAGGAGTGTGTTTTGGGGGTGCCGGGGCACGCACCTCGCCCGGGAGCCCCACGAAGAGGTGGCAGAAGAGGGGGCTGCCGGGGCTGCGGGGGTTGCGGGCCACGAAGGCGAACTGGCGGTCGGCGCGTCGCCACGTGCTGTACAGGATGCGGCGCAGCGCGTGCGCCATCAGCAGCGTCTGTGGGGACAAGGACAAGGTGGGGTGGGGGTCATTGAACCAAGCACACCCCCCCCTCCCCGCTCCGGGCACCCTGGGGTGCAAGTGATGCTGTGGGCACCACTACGGCACTGCAGGTTGCAGCGCTATTTGTGAATGCAAAGCAGGTTCCCAAGAGGAAAGTGATGCTCAGAGAGGTGCAACCTCCCTACAAAGCACATTTCCAGCATCACTGAGCTCCCCCAGCACCCATGACCCCCCCCCAGGACCCATGGGCTCCCCAGCACCCATGACCCCTGCACCACCCCTGAGCCCCCCAGCATCCCTACCTCGCCATCAGCGCTGTAGACCTTCACCCCCTGCAAGCTGAACCTCAGCACCACCAACCTCCTCCTGGGGCAGTCCTGGCCAGGAGACACACAGCGCTGGGGGGGATCTGGGCTATGTCAGCACCCCACTATTGGGGGTCCCCCTGTTTGCCCAGCGTGGGGAGCAGTGGTGGATGCCCGACCTTCAGTGCCTGCAGCTGCTCCTCCAGCTGCCCTGCTCGCTGCTCCAGGTCCAAGTCCTCCACCACAAAGGAGCCCACGTACTGAGGGGAACCAAAACCAACCCATGTCAGCAACACCCCCCCCATGCTGCTGCAATCGCTTCACCCCAGGGCAATCAGCCCACCCTGAGGGGATGGACTGGGGATGGACCCACTCCCAAACCCCATCTCGGGGTGTCCTGGCCCCCCTCCTGTGGGTAACTCACCTCTGCTGACTTGGTGATGCCCCGGGCTCGCTGCTGGGGGGCTGCAGGATCCGGCCCCCTCCCATTGGCCGCCTTCTTCTTCATGGCAGTGGGGTTTGGGGGGCGAAGGCTGGATCAGGATGGGGTTAAGCAGCTCTGGTGCTGCAGCCGAGTTACCCGGAGGCAGGCACGGTGGTGCAGGAGCTCAGATCTGCCCCCCAGTCACAGTCCCTGTGAGGAGGGAGGGGACAGACACAACCTGCCCCACTGTCCCCCCATTTCCAGCCCAATGAGCCCCAGGAGATGCTGCAGTCTCATACAGTGGCCCCCAGTCCCCAGTGCAGGGGAGCCCGAGTCCTGGCCCTGACACAAGGGTCCCTCCATACCAACCCTAATAAAAAGGTTCCCAAATCCTGCCCCTAACCCTAACATGAGGGCCCCTGCACCCCAAACCCAATGCAGGGGTCTCCATGTCCCCATCCCAAGCACCACGTTGGGGTCCCCACATCCCAGCCCCCATGCAAGGGCCCCCTGTGACCCCAAGTGCCATGTAAGGTTCTGCACAGCGTGACCCCAACCCCAGCATGGAGGTCCCTGTGTCCCCACACTGAACCAAGGATCCCAGCATCCCGACCCTAAGCACAATGTGAGGGTCCCATATCCTGCCCCTGAGCACTGCATGAAGGTCCCACATCCCAGCCCTGTGCAGGATGCAGATGGTCCCCATGTCCTGACCCTGAGCATGATGTGAGGGTCCCCAGATCCCAACCCCAAAGGTGACCCATACGGTCCCTGCATCCTGGTCCCAATTGAAACCAGTGTGATTCCATGTCCTGAGCAAACAGTCCAGACCCTGAGCAAGGTGCATGCAGTCCCACAGCCCAAACTCCAGGGAGATTCTGGGGTCTCTCCCATTCTCCCCTCCCTCCATCCCACTGCCCATGCAGCACCAAGACCCCATGGCTGTCCTCCAGGGGTGATCCCCAGAGCACCAGCGATGGGGGCAGCAGGTTCGGGGGGGGAGGTTTACAGCTAAGGTGCCCACCCAAGGGTGCACCCGGCCGCTCTCCAGCCACCCAAGGGGGTTCTGCCCTCTGCAGCCCTCGGGCAGGCTGAGACCACACTGCAGCCTCCTGGGTGCAAACACAGGGGAATCCGGCAGCCCAAAGGCATCCTAATGGGGTGGGGGGTCCGTATGGTGCCCTCATCCCCTTCGCGAGCTCAAGTTTGCCCCTCTCCTTCAGGCACAATTTGGGGGGTCTCTCCCCCCTCCCCCGAGCCAATCCGCAGGCAGGCAGCCCCCAAGCCCCGCCCCCTTTTTCCCACTCTTCATTTCTCAATGAGCCCCCAGCCCACCCTGGCGGACCCCAGGGGAGGGATGCGGTCCCCAAGGGGAGGGATGCTGACCCCCAGATTTAGTGGTGGTGATGGGGAAGTGACACCCAGACCCCGAGCATCCCCAGAGCCCCCATCCCCTGTGCCCCCTTCCCTGGCTCACCGGCTCTGTCGGATGGCTCCGGAGAAACGCAGGCAGAAAAACCCCCTTGGCTCCAGCTCTCGGCCTCCGCCGGTTCTTCCCCTTCTTCCCGGTGCCTCCTCGGCAGCTCCCTCCGCGCCGCAGGGATGCTCGACCCGTTGGCGTCAGGCCCTCGCCGCCAGCCAGGCCCCAGCGAGCCCGAGCCCACGGCGGGCACGGGGCAGGCAGCGAACTCCCATTTCCTGCCTCCGATCTGCCCACGATGAATCACTGCAGTTTTACCTCCCCGGCTCTCTCCGTCTCTTGGAAGCAGCAGCAGCAGCGCTCGGGCTCTTCGGGAGACGCGGCTGCATTGGATTCCTTTCCCCCTCTCCTGTTTCCTCTCCTCTCCTGCTGCGTGCCCAGCCAGAAGTGATTCTAACCCCACCACGCACACGCGTGGTCGCTGCTCGCCACCCCCTGCCCTGATGCTCAGACCCTTTTCACCCCGGTTGCTGAATTCCCATGGGAGTTGTGCTCACCACGGTCTGCTCGCGCTGGGAATAAAGAGGGATGGCTCTGACCTCACTGCAGAGCCTCAGGTGCCCAAAATCCTCCAGCTGCCGGAGGGCAAAGCTGTTCCCAGCCTCAGGGGTGTGCTTGGCTCCTGGAAAGGGAAAGCAACAGTCTGGGGAGGAGAGGGGGTCACCCCAAAATCCCCTTCCTGCTCCCTGAGGATGCAATAAGGCTCCAAAGAGCAGTGCTCCAACCTTGGGCTGCCGCCAGCTCCGGCTGCTTGGAGATGCTGTGAGATGCCCCAGCAGAACCCGTGGAGAAACAGCGGAAAAATGGAACACGGAGGACAGATGGGGCTGAGGAATAACATATCGGAGCCCAGGCTGGCCAGGAAGCGGAGATGGAGCAGAGCCCCACCGGCAACGCTGCCATGGGATGATGATTTTCCTGTTCAATCCCACTTGCAGCTCTCAGGAGACAAGGATTGGTCCTTGGGATTAAACACAACCAGAGCCACAGCTCTTGTTTTGGCTCAGTGCACGGAAACCACTTAATTAGCAATTAAAACCCCAACCAAAGAGTTTGGGGGTGATCAAGGGAGCCAATGGCTGTTTTCAGCACAGGGCTCTAATTCAAGGTGCCAAGCAGCAGAACTGAGCCACAGCCACGGGTGGAACATCAGTGTTTTCCACCCATGGGGTGGTCGGTGTGGGAATGTTGGGATGAGGGATGTCACACTGCCCTACAGCTGGGACAGGGCTCAGTGTCCCTGTAAATACCTGTCCATGAGTGAAGCACTTGCTCAAACTTGGTTCCCTTAAGTGTCAAACCCCCCTGCTGTTTGGGTACAAGTAGCCCTTAGAAAGAGCCATGAACTAATGCTTCCAATTGCTTTGCTTCCCTGTGGCTCACTCTTTGATCAGGGCTTTCACTCTCCCAGTTTCCATAACTGTTGTTTTTGTTAACCCCCCCATGTCTGCACCCTTGCTATGGGGCTGGCAACAACTGAGGCCGTTTCTGACACTGTTTTCTCCCTGTTGGTCAAGGCAGCACACAGGGACAGCAACTAAAAAGAATAAACTCAATAGGGTTGTTCTCTCTTTTTGCATTTGATTTTTAGAGGTACTGCCGCTCCTCTCAGCATGGAACATGCAAAGCTCTGTCCCAAAGCACGGTGAATGAAACTGCCAGGTCCCATTGGAATCACCAGTGCACAAGGAGAAGGTAGTGAGTGCTCTGACTGCAGGTGCTGCTCTGTTGAGCAGGGGATGATTTCAGCTGGTCCTTTTCTCCCCCACAGGCAGATGGGGGGCAGAGGGAGAAGAGAAGCAGTAAGAGGTTCAAACAGAGCTTTCTACTTGCTCACCTTTGCCTCCAGAGAAACCAGGGAAGAGATGGGTCACAAGGCAGTTGAGCTACAGTGCTCAGGCTAAAGCAGCCCCACTCTTTGACGCTGGCAAAGTGCATTTAACAAAGATTTGCCTCTGCAGCAATCCATGCTGATGGTAATTCCCTCCTCTCTGCAGTTCCAGGAGGAGGAAGCTGTGGCGAGGAAGAGAAAGGACACACAGAGCAGGCCTGGAATCTAGTTTCATTTTATTTTAGCAAACCGCATGTTCTTCAGTTATCAACATCTCTACATTAGCAATTGTATAGCTCTCCCACTGTTCTTTAAAAAAGGGTAAACAAGAGGTGACCAAACTCAGGCTCTTCATCTCTTAAAAACATCGGAAAGTTGGATTTCAAGAAGACTTTTACGTGTTTTGGTTTGAAGGTAACAGATGTGACGTGGAAACACTAATTCAAATCACCCGCCTAACTGAGAACTACCCCTTCTGGAGCCCCTCTGGCATCAGTGGATGCTGCAGGAGGTGATTACTGAAGCTCTGACTCACCATCAAACAAACCCTGCTGGTCTGGAGGAGCCAATCGTGCCCCCTCCTCAGCCTGCCCCCCTACCAGCCGAGCAGAAAGCAGCACCTCCAGGACTCAGTGCAAGTGCTGTATATACACTGCTTCTTCACAGAAGCGATAAGGACCTCGTAATGCAGGGGATCTAGGGAGGACTCTCTTGCCCTTGTACCTTCTCTTTAAGAATCACATTCCCCCAGTCATCCTGGTCCTGCTGGCTAAAGATATAAAGATCTTCTTTGAAGAACATTTAAAAGCCAACCCTCCCCCCTCCCTCCCCAGCGCCCAACCCAGAGGAACACCAGAAGATGTACAGGTTGTATATGCCCTAGAAGAAGTCCTACCATTATTGCAGAAACGACAGATGACTTGTTCCAGGGGAGGGGCAGGCACGAGGCCCGGCACTGAGCTCTAACAACTCCTCGGGTAGCTTTGATTTAAGTTGCAGCTTTTTTCCCCCCCCATCATTCAAGAAAACAAAAATAATAAAACCCCATTAAAAGAAGTGTTGAAGCATCAGAACTAAAATACAAACGCATGTTCGACTTAGAAAACAAGACTGTGGATTCGACCATGGCATTCCCTGACACTCCAAAGGTTTTACTTTTTTGCCCGGAGAGATTTCCTCATGGTGGATTTGCCCTTGGCAGAGGGTTTCACCTCCTTCCTCCCACTGGCTGCTGGTTTCTTAGAGGAGCTGCCACCAGAGGGTTTCTTGATGGCTGAGGCTGCTGGTTTGGCTTTCTTAGCAGGGGTTTTAACCTTGGGGGGGGGCTTTGCTTTGCCCCGGCTGGCGGCGGGGGTTTTCCTTGGTTTGGGTTTGGACTCTCTTCGCTTCATCGGAGGGGCCCTGCTCCGTGATTTTGGGGGTGGCCTCTTCTGCATCCTGTCAGAGAGAGACAGCACAAGAGCTCAGTGGAGTCACAAATGGTACCCAGAGCAGAGCTGCTGTCGTCAATCTGCATCTTGGCATCCTCCGCCTTTACCACGGGTGTTGCTTTATGCAGCAGTACATTTCATTAGCTAAACCCCAAAGAGCAACAACTCCTCTGGCAGATCTTGCCATGCTCAGCACTTCTCAGTGCCCACAGTGCTCTGCCAGAGAGGTTTCCACCTCCTTCGTTAGGGATATGAACATGCAAATAACGACGATGAATCAAAGCCAATTGTCAGAACAGTTCAGAGACCTGACCACTCTCCTCTCTAAATGGAGTTGTGTTACTTAACCAACAACACTTATGTTAAATCCACATTCTAAGGAAGGCTGGCTTTGTACAGGACTGCAATAATACTACTGTAGGGAAAACATTTCCTAAGGAAACAATAAATACAGAAAGTCCCCTGTGAAATGTCACAGTTCTGTGAAGCACAAAAACTGACTTCAGAACACTAAAGGCAATACAAAGGATAAATACAGGCTCTCCTCTCATCTGGAGGAAAAAAGAGGTAAGCTTCAAACTATGGGATAGGGGAGACCAGTATCTCTGGAGCAAAGCATTATCAGAAACTTCTTCCAACACCTCTGAGCAACAGCCCCGTGGATAAATAACCACACTAAGATTCACCTGTATCATCTGAACAAGCCCATTCCTCTCTCATGTGGCCATACCTCTTCTTTGGTGGCGGCTCTTCCTCCTCAGACTCTTCCTCTTCAGAGTCTTCTTCCTCAGATTCCTCCTCTTCTTCCTCATCAGATTCCTCAGAGTCCTCATCCTGTTGCTTCTCTGGGTAGAGCACATCTGGGCTACAAGAGGATTCATGTCAGAGTGTGACTTGCTATTAAGGATAAGACTCCAGCGAGCCTTTGGTAACCCTGGCAGAGACTTTTCCAATCACTATGTTGCCATTTGGCTCTCTGTGGGACACTAAATCACCATCCCTGGGCTCCACGTGGCCCAGCACAATATCCACTCCCAGCAGAAGAAAGGCTGTTTTAGTCTCACAATAGCTGATCTAGGTCATCTTCCCTCCTCCCACTTCTTCTCCACGTCAGCATTAAAAAACAGCTGGGTCCTACTCATTGTGAGCATCCTTGCATTAACACCACCACGCTACCTGCTCACGTGAACTTGTTTTAGCACAGCAACACTTAAATAGCCTCCATCCTGCAATAAAATCACCATGACAGAAGATTTGAGAAGACTGAACCCAATACCTTTAACTGCCCTTAAAAGCTTCCCTTGCTTTCTTGCTAGCTTTATGTTCACTCACAGTCAGACATTCAAGTAATGGCATTATCTAGAGTATGGGTGATATGTAGGGACAGGCCAAGGGGAATGGCTTGAACCTGCCCGAGGGGAGACTGAGCTGAGCTCTTAGGCAGAAGCTCTTCCCTGTGAGGGTGCTGAGGCGCTGGCACAGGGTGCCCAGAGAAGCTGTGGCTGCCCCATCCCTGGCAGTGCTCAAGGCCAGGTTGGACACAGGGGCTTGGAGCAAGCTGCTCCAGTGGAAGGGGTCCCTGCCTGTGGCAGGGGTTGGAACTGGATGAGCTTTAAGGTCTCTTCCAACTCAAACCACTCTGGGATTCTGTGAATGCTGCAGTTCATCAGTTATTAAACCCTCCACAAATTATTAAATTATTATTATTATTAAACCCTGTGAACAGGTCAGCTGATGAACCCCTGCAGTGCTACCTGGCTAACCTCCTCACCACTTGTCGTGAGGACTGTTTAACAGCCAAGTGCTTTACCTAGGATAATAAGGGAAGCAAAGCTGAAAGGTTCCACTGAAGCCCTTTCCAGAGATTTGCTCCATCCAGCCATTCTTCTCACATTTCTGCAGGGTTCTCTTCAGTAGATGCACTGTGAAAATAAAATCAAATAAAAAACTCAGAGGAAGGTTGTTACTATCTTTACCCACTTGTCTGACCTTACTGCTCCCTGCAGAGCCATCTGAAATCAGAGCTGGAGTCAGGATGAAGTCTCCTTTGCTAGGATACCTGCAGAGCACTTAGAAAGTGTGGCTTTAAAGTCTCCAAAGGATGAAGTCAGGAACAGCGCATGGTTTTGATGTCCCCATCAAAGGATGCTCCTATCCTAAATGCAATCAGTAGTGGCATGGAACTACTGCTGTTCAAATTTAACCCAAATCTCAACTTTCTACAGCCTGTTCTCCAAAGTGCTTTTTAAAGACTTGTGTCTTTACCCTGGTTTTACCTTCCTTGTATCCCTAAATGTCAAATGTGATGCATCTTTCCCCAGTCTGTGTTTTTGTTTTGCGTTTTAAAGGGAAAATACCTGGTCTAGACCTAGGACAAATGCACTTTTTATTCCAGCCTTCTGTTCCATGTGCACTGTGTAAGAATTGTAACCAAAGCTGTGCAAGTACAGAGGATCTTTGGCAAAGGGCTGAAGTTGTTTGTTAGTTCAAAACCATTTGCAGCTTCAGTCAGAGGGACCATTTTCATATTTAGCTCCCTCCAGACCAAGGCTGCCCTCAAGCACCTTCCAAAGAGGTTCACTTGAGAAATGGAAAAATACAAAGCAACACAGTGGCTGAACTGTCACCTGGATCTGTGGGGACAATTAATGCAAAGGTATTTGCTCCAACTGCTTATTCCACACTACTGAAACAGGCTTTTATCAAGCACTGACATTTCAGAGCAAGAGAATCCTTCGGGACAAGGCCATACTTACACCAGACTGCTTCTGCTGAAACACTGTACTTTGAATGGCACTGGAAGAGCCTGCACAGCTAATGGAGTTGATCCTATCCATGAAGTCACTACTGTTGCAACATTTGGATCCTCATAGTTCAAGAACTCTTTAAAAATCCACGCTTTCATCAAACAGGAGCAACGCAAAGCCTAAGGCTGGTTTTATTCTTTGTATCAAAGATAAATAGCAGCACAAAGTTAAACAGCACTTGACTCCAGTCAACTCCAGTTCTGAGGTATAAAAGGAGGAGTGCAGAGCACTGGCTCTGCAGTGTGCACCCGCCTGCTTTTACATCTCACCAGATCTTCCTCTGGTTGCTCTTAAAACAGAGCAGAGATCATCAAAATTCCTTTTATGTAACAGAAAGGGAAAGAAAACAACAGATTGCAAGCTGAAATTTCTTTATGTGACTTGCAAGGCTGACAAGCACTAGAGGCTACCTGAGCATAGGCCTCTGAAGACCAGGGAGAATTCCAATGCTCCTGAAAATAAATCATGCAAGGGCTTAGGATGCCTGGAAACTCTTCTCCCTGCCCCAAGATTAAGAAGTCACACTTGACATCAGTCTCTAATTGGCAGAAGGCCTCAGGCAGCTTCTTTAGCCCACGCTGCTGTGAGGGAACCTGCGCCCTCTTGGCATCAGTAAGCCCCGTTTCAAGCTGATGTGCTGCTGCTGTGCTTCAGCTCCAGGTGAAGTGTGGGATCAGCAGCCTCCCACCAGGCCCATGTCCTAACAAATGGCACCAGAACCATGACACCACAGCAACAAACTCATCTACCTCTAGGTTTGACTCTAGTGAAGACTGCTGCAAGCTCATCCTGCTTCAAGTGACCTCCAGCACTGGTTAATAAACTGCAGTGGGGCTCAGGCCAAATAATGCACACAAACCATTAAAACATCTGCTTTAAAGCGTCTGTTAGTATTGCTTCTGCTAACGCAAAAGCCAAAACAGACATTAGAGTCATTCCTGAGAACAAAGACATGCCAAATCTCTTTCCAAATACAACAGGATTGTTTCTCTCCTCACTTGCTTGACCTTTTAAAAATCAGAGCCAAAGAATGACCTCAAGCAAATCCATGAGAGGGGTGCCTGCGAATGTTTTAAAAGTTAGACTGTGCAACTTCTCTAACTAAAAAGCAACTGGGAACTGCATTTATGCCAAGCTGTAGCCTTTCAAAATAGAGACAGACAGATGAAATCAACTTGGTGATTTAAGAACAACAAAAGTACTTGAATACTATTCCCCTTTCCTGGGAACGTGCTACAGACAAGAGAAACATGTATTATGTCTCAAACTAGCCTTTGTCAGGCTTGAAAGGAGCTGATGGGAATTAAAACCACTGAGCATCTCTGCAGCACAAAGAGCTGAGCAGCTGTCAGTTCCCCAGCAAGCTCAATGGAATACTTTAAAGGTGCTGTGCAGACACATCTGCAGCTGCAGGACTCTTTCAGCATGCAAAAGAGAAGCACCACACAGACTGGTACTTTACCCTGGAGGTTGGAGTTGGTCCCTGGGTGGTTTTCCAGGATATACTTCTTGAGGGCTGTGGTGGAGCAGGTCTTCGGTTCGTTCATGGCCGCAATAGCAGACAGGATGGCGTCTTCCATCAGAGTCCCACCCAGCAGGGGCTTCTCCCCTGATTTCTTCAGCTATTTTCCAAGGAGGAAGAGAAAAGCATCAAGACAAAATTCTCCCAAACCAGGTCAGGACAAGCTCCTCTGCACCAGGTGGGTCGGCGCTCCTGCATCAGCACAGATATGTTTTACATTAAACACGGCACGGGGAACGCTGCTCTCCCAGCTTTAACTGGGAGGACAGGCCTAGTCAAGTGGCCTGGAGGGCTTATCATCAGTAACATATTGTCCCAGTCCCCAAATACACTGCAAGGATGTGGCAATCTAAGGGCCTGTCACTTAGGGAAGGAAATAAATCAGCTCTTCTTCCATCCCCCAGACCAAATGTACCCAAGAGACTTCTGTGGAACATCCACAAGAACAAAGCGTTGCAGGCATCTGGGGTACCTACTGCACCCACAGTAAGAGATGGAAAGGAAAGCTTACCCCACCATCTCCCCTACTGTGCTAATGAGTCAGAACCGAAGCAGCGTGAGGAACACGCTAAGCAAGGAAGGCAGGGGGGGCTGCTCCAGAAATGTGGGCCCAGAGGAGAATAAGAGTCCTACTGCTTCATAGTTGGACAACTCCTGAACATGACAGGCTGCTAAAGAAAGGTGTACCCAATGAAACTGGGGGGGAAGAGGGGGTGTTAACTTATATCCAAGGCTTGTGGTCAGTATAGTCAACAAAACAAGGTGAACTCTGGCTCTGACCTGGAATGTCCCAGACGCTCCCTTCCCTGTGATCTGCTCTAACTGGCCCTTCTCTACAGCTCTCTGGAGGGCATTCTTCAACAGCTGGGGTCTGAAATACAGGAAGATAAAGCTTTACTGACACACACACAGACTGACAGCTTCAAAAACAAACAGATAAACAAGGCTTTATAAAGAGTGTGAGCAGAGCAGTACTTCCGAGTGGTATCTGCCTGCCTACAGGCATTTTAAATAGAGATCTGTCAGCAAGTGAGTGCTGATTACATGAGAAAAACAATGTACGTTCGTGGAAACTGAACTGCAACGTTTCCTTGGTGTCACTGCATCCAGAAACAGACAAGCTCCACTTGGGAGGAGTTAATCGTTTTGAAAAGCATATTTGGAGTCGGTGGGCAATGAGTCAGCTCACAGACAACAAGGAACTGAGTACAGGGCCCCTGCAAGAGGTGGCACACATGGCTTTCCCAGATTTGCTTCCTCCCCAAGCTTTGATCCATTTCACATAAGCAAGCTTAATGCTTACTGTAAGCACATGCCAGCTAAGGCATCCAGAACCAAGAGGGACAAGATCCCAAGGAGAGGCTTCACATCCCCACAGCTAAAGAGAGCTCGTTTTGATTAAGGGTGGAGGTGCACAGTCAACGCTGATGTTGGCATCAGGAACAAAGATTGGGTGTGGAGGGATGCAGGAAAAGGCACAGCTTTTCCTCAAGTTTTCCTGCAGGCTCTACAAGGCAGAGCACCACCTGCCTGCTGCAACGCTGAACTGGATCACTGGGAAGCAAGGCAAAGCCAGAGGAAGGCTGTATTTCACTGCTCCTCTGCAGCTCTGCTTACAACAGCATACTCCTGCACCTACCTTATATCTACTTTGAGTTTGGGGTAATACTGAGACACGTATTTCTTGATGAGGCTGTAAGAAGCTTCCTTCGGCTCACAAAGGCGGGTGAAAGCCAGTGGCAGGATATCTTCCAGCTTCACTTGTTGCTCTGCAGCCGAAGTAGAAGTGCTTTTCTGAAATACACACACTTTACTCATCAGTGGGGCCTAAAAGTCTGGGGTATCTGAAGCAGCAATGCACAGGGGGGAAGTGCTCCTGACACTGGACACAGATCTGCAAAGTCAAGTTCTGTAAGGCAACTCTTTAACAATTTAAAAAGTTTAGGTAAAACCAAGCAAATTTGGCTGGAATTTTCATAGGAGTCTCTGGACAGTTTTGCAAATAGAAATTGCTCAGTATTTAACAACATCTGTATTTTTACATCAGTTTCCTTCCTCTTTCTACACACACTTTCCTCTGCTGCCCTTCTGACATGAGTGAAAATCTTACACACTGCCATGAAATTTAAACCACACCAAAGGCTTTTTACATCTGCCCAAAAATGACTACCTTAAACAGGAGTGGGTTTTTAGATGACAGAATGAAATCCTGATTGAAGCCAACTTTTCCTTCTGAATTTTCCTCCCTCCCTTTATTACTGTGAGGAGGGCATGAGCAGGAAAAAATAAAGTCTGCTGTTTATACAGAAAAGACAGTGGGAAAATGTGCTGAAGTTTAATGGTTTTGATGCTGAACAGCAGCTTTGCAAACAGTCAAAGGGGTGAGGGTGCTGCTCACCAGACAGCTGCTAGCTGCATTCACCAACAAAACCAAGCTGTGTTTTGCTGCAACACAGAGAAAGTAACTAGGAACAAAGACACTGATATGCTGCAGACAATAAAAGTGATGTGCTGGCAGTTATCAGGTGTCTTGCTCAAACTTCTTGTGGAGCCAGTGAGCTCTATTTAAAAAGTTACACTGCAATTGGTTTTCTCCTGTTCCACAGTACCAAGCAGGTCACTGTTACCCTCGGCTTTAGGGCTTTTGGTCTCCCCAGAAGTGAAAAGATACATTACAATACTCTCTGGGTTCATCCCTCTAAGCTGCAAGGGGATCAGCTATTCTGGCTAAGTGTTTTGTAACCACAGTGTTAGAAACTTACTTCATACACCCAGTGTAGCAGAGAGTGGAGAACAGTGGAGCTGGACTAATTGTGAGGACTAGGCTCAACCAACCCCCTCCCATATCACATAGTACTACCTCAGAGCAGTATACACCCAACATTAGCAGCTTTCTTCCAGAAGCCTTAGGACGTTGTCTTCTTCCTCCCTCTGCACTCACAGCTCATGGAAAAATGTTCACCTGACAGTCCTCAAGACTGAAGTCTTCCATTTATCCATGCAACAGATAGAACAGACAGCAGTAGCATAAAGCTCTCTTACAATACCTGAGAGGCATCTCTCTCTACCAGGTAAAGACAGAAGAGGAGCTTCCTGGTTATTCAGTTTTCTGCCTCTGAACCAAAGCCTAGGGGTTTAATGTAAACATTTTAAAACTAAGATTTTGTTTATTCTACTTGGTTTAATTTCTAAAACTAACTTTCTGGTTCTGATTTTATGAACAGGTTTTTTAATTACCATACTTGGGGAGGAAAAGTACAGCAAGAAGAATAATGTCTGGGTTGGGGTTAAGCTGCCTTTGGTAAGATACATGTGTTTCAGTGCAAGATTTTTCAGGGTATTGTTTAAAATGATCCATCTTACCTTTCTGTCTCTGGATTTTGGAACAGATTTTCCTGCACTAGCCACCACCACAAAGCTGCCAGAAGCTCCCTTTCCTTTTACCTAGTTTGAAAGAAAGTCCATTTCAGTCTTTAGCAAAGTAACTCAGAATAACAACCTGAAAGAGACTCACTGACACCATTACACAGATTTTGACTTCACTGCCACCCCGGTGATGGGCTGTTATGGCAGACGCCTGTTTGAACCCACTGAAACTTTAATAAGATCAGAAACTACAGCCAGACATTAACAAGGTACCATGACATCCTAACAGACAGCACAAGCATAAATGAGAGCTAAATGTGCTGCTGCAGAAGTGACAGTGCTGGACTGAGTTTGAAGACAAAGGCTGCTGCAATGCTGTATGACACAACACCAAGAAACGGTCATACATTGCACAAAAGACAACTGGGCAAAGTGTCTGACTGACAGAGCAACGGTGAAATCCCATCGGTATCTAACAAAGTGAAGAAACAGGTTGATTAACCTTCATGAGGAAGAAAAGACCTACTAGCAGAGTTTAAGAACCCTGTATGTAATTCAGTAACACCACCTCCAGTGCTGCTCCACAAAGCAACTCTTACCTGTCTAATGATTCCTCTCTCCAGCTCCCTTTTCAAGGCTTGCTTTAGCAGATAGCCTCTCCTCTCCAGCTCCAGGGAAGGGTATTTATGGATGATGTATTTGCGTATTGCAACAACGGATGCACCACTCTTTTGAAAGCATGCCTGAAACGGAAGCAGAACATTAGCAGAAACCACCTGCACTGGAATGATCTTGCTGTGGGACTGGAGAACAGCAGTTGAACTGATGCACACAGGCCAGCACACTAACACAGAATTCCAGGCTGGCCTTTTCCTCATAATGCCTCAAGAGGATAAAATATAACTAACAAAATACTTAAGCTAAAGAGCAGACAACACAACAGCAGCACAGCAAGTGCATGTCAACCACTCCTCTGCTCTGCAGCACTTACATGTAATGGCTTAAACACTAAACGGTACTACAAAATACAGCCACCTTTTGGCAAACCACTGCTGCACAACTGGCAAGTTGGTGCACTAACGTCAGAGTTATTAAGTCAGAACAAGTCAACAATTCTGTGTTTTTAAGAAGATGGAGGCTTGACATTAGCAAACCAGCAAAAAGTCTAAGCTGAAGATCACATTTTGAAGATAGAGCAGCTGGAAAGGCTGTCCTACAGTTAAAGTGGGTAGAATCCAGGCCAGCTCTGAAGGCAACACGTGTGAACCAAGCCTCAAGGGGAGAGCAGCAACACAACTACAACAGCACAGGGCTCTTCTTACAAGCATGAGGGACACAATAGACCCATCCCAACACCACTCTGGAATGCTAGTGTACAGTTTCTCCATCTGCCTTGAATTAGAACAAGTTAATGCTGAATAAATCACGTATCAAATAGATGGCTTAATCAAGGTAAATCAAGTTAAGTGTGGCTAGAAGGCACACCAAATTAAATGATGACAGCAATCAAGCAGATTATGTCATCCACCCTGTTTCTAATAATGTAATGATGGAGGAAACAAATTCTAAACAAAGAAATACTCTACAGGGCCTCTCATCATCATCATGGACTCACATTTCAGCTCCACGGGCTTCCAAGCAGAAGCACACGTGTCTCATAGTGTTTCCTGCTGACAGCCAGCACTATCATCTGTACCAGCAGCAAGCTGAAATGTGAATTTTAGGCACACAAATTATTCTGCTTTGCAACAGATGAACAAAAGAAACATTTGTCTCCTGCTTACCCTGATGGCCTCAGTTAAAATAGCATCCATTTTGGGACGTGAGGTGGCAGCCATCTGAGTCTGTTTCTGTGCTCTAGCTAGCTGGCTAGCAGAAAGAGTAGCCCAGGCAGGAATGGTCTTCTTCACCTTCTTCTCCTTCTCCTTTGACTGATCCTTCTCACTTTGGAGGAATAAAAATCAATAGTAAGACAAGAGACACTGTAAAACAAGCCAACAGCAGCACAACAACTCCACAACATCTGACACTGAAAAGAATTTAAAGGAGATTTTGGTGTTTCTACTAGAAAAAAAAGACCCTGTCTGGATATTCGGTCTCACATATGTTCTAGAACAGCAGGCACACTCTACTGGTAGCTTCTTCCTGAGAAATACAAGCACTTTTTTAAGGGACACATCCTATTTTTCTCATCTCTCCTGTCATCTTTTCCATCTCTAGAACCTAACTTCGTTCAGAACCCTACCCAATTTCCCAAATTCAGCACTAAGCTGAAAGAGCCTTACTCCTTTTTGGTTTCTTCTGAGGGCTTGGTTTCCCCCTTCCCTTCAGTCTCAGGTTCCTTTGGCTGTTCTGCTTCACTGGATGCAGCAGGCAGGGTTTCAGTCTCTTGTTCTTCCCCAGCAGAGGCAGATTCCTCAGAGGTGACTTCTGCATCTAAGGAGACATGAAAATGCATCAAGTTACTGCCAAAAATGAGCCTTTATTCTTCATGAAGGCGGGGGGCCTGGAGGGGGAGGGAGGGGGGAAGAGGTGTGTGTGATAAAAAGCTTAAGAACACACCTCAAAAATTATTTCCCTTCAGACAATTTCTTTTCTCCAGTTTAAACAGATTATCTAAATGTAACTTAAGAAGCAAACAAAACTACTGGGAGGAGCTTCAATAAGGTGCAATCAGCCATCGGATGCCAGAATAACGTCAAAAAACATCATGCAGCTTTTCACAGCGCACTAATTCCCCCGTCTTTCCCTCTTAACTTCAAAGTTATTGTTGCAATCATCACTGGTCAGAGAGGCCTGGGTGGGGAAGAGAGGAGGAAACGGCTTTCCCATAGGCTGAGGTTTATACATTTTTAACTCATAAATGTGCAAACCACGTATCTCTACCCGAAAGGTAGACAGATACATACAAGCAGCTGTGTTTGTACCCACCTTGTTTTCAACACTGCTGTTCCTGCACCACACACTGTGGCACCTGAAGGATTTCTAACTGTTCAATCCATTTTTCCAGACTTGGCAAAGCTTTAGATTGCACACGCACTGACAGAAGCACTTGTCTATCAGCAGGATCAAATCCAACCAGGAATCAACTTCCCAAGCAAATAAACTGGCATATTTAGCTGAGAACAGGACTTGGCTGCCTACTAGATAAGGGGCATATAAACTGCCTTTACCCACTTTTTGGATAAATAACTGTCCACCATCACTGCTCTGCACAGGTTCTCTTGTCTCTGAGAATGAGCTTAATACCCTCACCATGCTGCTGTGCATAGTTTTCCCCATGGAGGCATCATGCATTTAAAATCCACAGTGTATTAAGGTAGTTTGGTATGTAACTGATTTATTTGTGACAGCAAAGAGGACAAAGTCAGTGAAACTGAGTGCAGTACTGAAATGACACATCCTGAGAAACTGAGGTGAAGCTGCTAAGACCACACACGTTAATATCAGACTAGACTCTATGACACGTTGTGGTAAAATCGTCTTGTTTAGGAATAAACTCCTAAATACATTGTTCTTCCATTCCTTAACTCCACCTTTCCATCTCAAGCCACCTTCCTGACACTACTGAGACTTCACAAATGTTACCTTTACTCTAAAGAATGTGCAAATTTAAAAGGGCCTTCATTTATCCACATTTTCATGTCTGGAGTGTCAGAACTTTGCTACAGGGGATGAAGGACAAAATGAACAGGTCAGACTGAAAAGTGGCTACAAAACACAACTTCCCAATAATCCAGGAGAAGCCTGTAGAAAGGAGCTAAGCATTGGGAATATTTTAGTCTTGGCAGGAGGGTTTTCAGCAATGTTAGAGCACAAGCTTATGTTTGGATATACATTAACAATCTGCTGTAGATTTATCACTGTACCTGCTTTGACCTCTTCACCTTCAGCAGGTTTGCTTTTGGGAGGGGTTTCTCGGGGAGAAGAATTCACGGAGCGGCGGATGGGCATTGTGTCGTCTTCAGCCTTCTATGGAAAGCATAAGAAAATCAGGATAGATACTGTAAAGAATCAGAAAGGTTTAGAAATGGAATTAAAGTAAATCAAAGCAGCGTATGTAGAGATATTCTGGTTACATTTGGATTTTTCAGCATTTTAAAAGACCCTCAAACCAGCATACTTGGAAAGGAGAGTTTCCCACTTTACAGTTACAAAAGAAATCATTTATTTTCAATTCCACATTAAAGGAGATTTGAGGATCTTGCTAAACACAACATCTCAGGGAAAGCAGGGAAGGGGAAGGAGAGTGCCTGCAGGGGTTAGTAGACTCCCAATTGAGTTGCCTATGAGCAGGGGAGAAAGAGCACTGAGTAACCTTCAGCAGGACTGGAAGTCAAGGACTGATCCAAGGGCAAGCTTGGAGAATGGGCCAGCCCCTACCTCACTTAACTTGTCCGTGTGGATGAGCTGAGCTCCCGTTAAGAGTGGAAGCGCCTTATGATGCACGGGTTCAGCTTCAGACAGATCAGTCGCCATTTAAATAAATTTCTAGCCCCCAGTGCAGGTAACACTGTAGAGCCCCAGGTTTTAACCCCAAGGACCTTTTCCTAATGGTTTTCACAGTGCAGTGAGGAGTCAACCTGAAGTACAGAAAAGATGTGGTGTGAAAATTAACAAAACAAAACCATCTACGTCCATGTATCTAACAAAGTAAAGATTAAAAAGAAAAGAAGAGTAAATGACTTACAGCTTATGACTAACACAACTGACAATCAACACTTGCATTCAACAAAGAGGCTAAAACATGTACGCAGACTTGAGAGCTATGGATGTAGCAGAAATGGTAAAGGTGTAAAGCCAGACTTGCAGCCTGCTCCATAAAAACAGATCTGAAAGAATAAAAAGGCTCTTTGAATGAACAGAAAGCATTAATGAAAAGCACACATTGCACTGCGCCTGAAGTGAGGCATGGAGGAAACAAGTCATTGACTGTGGGTAAAAGCAGGAGCTGACATCTTGATCCAGCTTCTAACAGCCTAAGGAATTAAACCGTTACATTTGTTAGGAAAATACACACACTGGGACCCAAACCATGCCCTTCCCAAACTAAACCCATGCAGTTCAGAGAAATGGAGGAGCCTTCAAAGAAAACAACCATCAAACCAGCAGTCTCAGACCTTCTAAAGTAAAACTTAAGCTTTACAAAACCCTCCTCCAAACACACGCACGTCATGGGTATAGAATGGGTTAAGCTTAGTCTAACCCTCACCAAGTCTCATCCCTTACTACCATTTACATTTCTATAGACTTTCTTACCTGTTGACCATGGGACTGCATCAGTTTCTCCCAAGGAGGGGTTCTCAGAACCCCTTTAAAAACCTGAGAAGCAAAGCTTCTCTGGCAAACCAGGCTGGACCTGTTCTCTCCTGTTCCTCCAGGCTGCACTCCCCTTCCTTACAGAGAAACCAGATGCTCCCAGTTTCTAGCTATTCTGGATGTTTTCTTTTGCTCACATGAGAAGGAAGGCACTTAACATAAATTTTCACCTTTAATAGGTATCTCCCTAGTGGGTCTTCCTCTTAAATGAGACCTGACATCACTCCTGTCACTGTTTTCAAGATGATTTTCACCAGTTTCAGCACTTCAAACTGCATTCTCCCCTGCCCCATGTACCACATCAATACCATCTCAACCACTCTACATTCTGGCCCCAAAACACAGTCCTCTTATTACTCAGCAGTGGGGGCTTCCAATCCAGAGGGATTCTCTTTACCTCAGTTACTTTCTCAGGAAAACCAAATACCAGTTCATTTGAGTATTAAAACTTCCATTAAAACTCCAAGCTGTGAGTCACTTCCATTCAGAAACCAGTGCCAGTGAAAGAGGAGCAAAAGGGGAATGTGTGGTAAGATATGATGGTTTACAAGGACTGGTGATAACAGAATCCCAGCCTGGTTTGGGTTGGAAAGGACCTTAAAGCTCCTCCAGTTCCAACCCCTGCCACAGGCAGGGACCCCTTCCACTGGAGCAGCTTGCTCCAAGCCCCTGTGTCCAACCTGGCCTTGAGCACTGCCAGGGATGGGGCAGCCACAGCTTCTCTGGGCACCCTGTGCCAGCGCCTCAGCACCCTCACAGGGAAGAGCTTCTGCCTAAGAGCTCAGCTCAGTCTCCCCTCGGGCAGGTTCAAGCCATTCCCCTTGGCCTGTCCCTACAGGCCCTTGTCCCAAGCCCCTCTCCAGCTTTCCTGCAGCCCCTTTAGGCACTGGAGCTGCTCTAAGGTCTCCCCTTCAGGAGCCTTCTCTTCTCCAGGCTGCCCCAGCCCAGCTCTCTCAGCCTGGCTCCAGAGCAGAGCTGCTCCTCGTTACTACAATTGTACGTACAAGATCTTCTCCCCAGACTTGTAAACTATAAACTAAATCCACTGCTGCTGCAGGAGGGTGCAGTGTCACATCAGGTGCACACACCTATGGCACAACAAAGACACTTTCAGCCTGATGGCAGGAGGACTAAACACATTGCTAGGCAGCCTTTCTGCAGGAGGTGCTCCAGAAGACATTTCCCTAGCTGGCCATCTTCAAACCACAGTGCTTGTGGCAGCTAAAGGTACCTCAATCTGCTCCTGCAATGTCTACAACTTCTCCGGTGTGACTGAACAGTCATTCTGAAGAACGACAGGGCGCCAGTCCTGTGTCTCAACAGCAGCAGAGGCAGATGAGTGTAACAGCAACAATGGTTTCTTCCGAGACAAAACAAAAACCCCCAACACACTACATGCCAAAACCATGCTAAATGAGATGAGTGAAGCTTTCTCATGGAATTTCAGGATGGGAAGAAAGAATGCTAATAGCCAATGAGAACATGCAAACTACAGCCCAGCCTTTCTGAAGCCTATTTTAAGGGCTCCTCCTCACTCAAGTGCAGAAAGTGAGAGGAAAAAAGAGTTTTCACCAGCTCAATCCCAAATGTGTTTCCTACCAAGCACAGCCTGAAGCCCTTTAAAAAATGCCAGCATTTTGAAGTGAGTCCTAAAACAACCAATTACAGATCCATCCTCCAGGAAATCAGCTGGGGGCTACACAGACACATTCCCTGGGAATACTAACACACACATCCAAGCATGCACTGTGGCTGACCTGGGCCTGGAGTTTATTTGTTTAAAACTCTGCGACCTGTGTGTCACATACATGAAAACACAGTGCTCCCAACTCTGACTCCAAATTCCCCATGTTCTAAAAGACATATCCTTTGTTTAGCTCTCAGTATAAACCACTCAAGTGTTGCTGCTCTCAAGAGCAAATGTAACACAGCACAATTCCTCACCCATGCACAAAGCCATCACCCAGCAGAAACTTCCAGCAGTGACCCAAACAGGAGCTTGTTGATTCCCTCCATGTTCCCCATGTGGATCATTCGCTCAACTGGCTAAGGGAACCAAAGGGGCAGGAGGATCATCTCCTGTTGGCTTCAAAGTAATGGGATTCTCAAACAGCAGTCACAAGCGCTACCTTGTGAAAGCATCACTGCTCTTGCTCAGCCTGTTTCTTCCCACAAAGGGATCAAAAGTAGTTTTCTGGACAGGGTGTGAAATATCAACCATAAATAGGCCTGAATTTAGTTTTTCAGAAAGATAAAGCAAAAGACTAGACAGTTTTATAACAGTGATGCAGGAAAACTCTCATATCCCCTCCAAATAAAATGGTAGATTGAATGGAAAAATCAAGTCGCCCAAACCAGCTGTTACCCGGACACCCTATTTCATGTGAAAGATAACCAAGACATCTTTAAATGTGTACCACAGACTGCAAGCATCACTGTTAGCAATACACAACTGGAAAGTGATGCCACCTTCTGCATTTACACCTATGTCAAGCAAATATTGTGCTTGGAAAAGAGGACAAGGACATCAGTTGAGGCTGTGGGTTTTCAAGGTGCTTCTTGGGAACTGTCACATACACTCACATCTGATGGACTGTCAGGATAAAAATAATCACATCAGCAGTGAACCAAACATTGGGATACCAACCTTCCAAAAGTTACTTCAAAGTACAGGCAGTAACTCCCCACATAGCTACTCACACTCATTTTCCTATAGGCCATTTGAACTCAACATTACCCAGCCATCATGAACTAGTCACTCCAAACTAGTCATTCCAAAGTGAATCTAGCAAGGAGCTGATAAGCAGCAAAACTCCTACACTTTCAGGATTTCTAGATGAGCAGGAATGGTTGGGAGTGCCCAGTCTCTGAGCTCAGAGTGGCCACTGAAGGCAGCTGCAGTCAAATGTACAGGTAGGTTTCCACAAGCTATTACAAAAAATGACAGCAATTTCCTCCTGAGCTATCAGCACATCCTTAGGGGATAAAAAAAGGGAGGCTTCAGGTGAGACACATGCATTATAGATAATATAGAAGAGTGGAGTCCCCCTACCAATATAACAGACACAAGAACATAAGACTTGAGGCATAGTTTGGCTGACTTCAAGAATTTCTGCTGCCCGTAAGATTTTCCAGCTCTTCTCAGACCTCATTCTCACTTGAGGGAAAACATTTCAGGATAACCCCAGGTCTCCAACATGGCAAGGCACCCAACAGGCTGGCAGAAACACCAAGGTGCAAGGACTCAGGGTAGGGTGCACAGGCCGAGAGGACTGAAAACAAATATGCAATGGAAAAATGAGAAAGCAAATCCCATCGTGTGCCGTTGGGGGTGTCCCCTTACTGTCACACGACACGTACGCTGGTGATTGATGTGCTCTAGACATGACTTGGTATATGGAACATGACGCAGGTCTAGAAACTGGGTCAAAAAGGGCTGGAAAAGTTTTTGTGTTCTTGCAGATGTGAAGCCAGGGTGTCAATGGGTACACACCCAACAACCTTACAAACAAGAACAACAGTTTAGTACCAAAAAAGCTTAAAAAGCAAAGTAACTGGGTTTCAAAACCAGGCTATTCATTATTGTACAGTTATCTACTATTACATAGCACTGTCCTGAGCAGAAGAGCATTTAAATACTCCTCAGAAGCTGCAGAAAAAAGCCAAACAAACCAGGAAATGTTGATATTTTTGCAAATAGAAACCAAACATATCAAAATATCACGTTCTGAATTGCAAGCAGGCCAACTTCTCCAAGGCTTCTGGCCCCTGAAATCCTCAAAGTGCTTCCCTAAAAATCCAGCTGAGATAGAAGATACCTTTCTTGAACCCTCAGTATCTATATCCTCACAGAATGCATCATCCAGGAACACCTTTGATACAAACCTGTTTTATACAGAATGTATCTGTTAGAAGCTCTCAGCTGATTGCTGTCACATCCCGTTGACAAAGGTGCTCCAGCACTGCCTGACTTCCCTTTGGCTTCTGCATTTCAGTGAGCTGCCTGTGCTCTGGATGAAGTCAGACTAGTTGTATTTAGTCATTTAAATGTGCAGAGGAATAAGATACCTTACTGAAGACACAATATGAGTTAGTCCCCACTTCTAATCCTTATTTGGCAGCCTGATCGGAAATTCCCTCCCGTTTCACATCTGGCATTCCCATCACTTTTGCTGCCATTCAACAAGTCTGGGGCTCTGTCCGGATCCTTATGGCAAACCTGTCGCATTGACTTCCTGGGAGGTGTTGTGGTTAAGCTGACTTTTAAGCTACACAGGCTGTACTTGCAGCTCTCTTGTGAGATCTGTTACAGGCTATGGGAGCCCCACACTGCTACAGGCATTACAAACCATCTTGTTTCAATTAAAGGTCCAATACAAAGATCCGATCGCTCATCATTTGCCAGGCAAGAAATACTTTGGCTTGACTAGTGTTACAAGTTTCTATTTCCATCCACTCCTTCCCTATACAGCATTAAGAAAGAGAATAAATCCCAAGTATATTTGGGAAGCACAATGAAAATCTTTCACGCTTCCAGTATCCAAATGCACATGATCCTACACACGCAGACCCAAAGGAGAGTTTTTCTAAGCTGAAAGACACATCCTCATTTCAGAGTAGCACTGAATTTGGATCTCTGACTCCAAACACCACAAATGCAGTCTGACTTACACTTTGCCTATCCCATTGGATTTCAAAGCAAAGGAAAACTCAAACACTGCCCTTCTGCACACAGAGATGCTGCTTCTACTGCAGGGGAAAGCACTCTGCCACAGTGAGATTGATGCTCTGCCTCCCCACCTGGGACTGAGCTCAGTGCCTCATCTCTGATGGGGTGTAACAGCAGCAAATCAAAGTCAGATCCATCTCAACAGCTGTTTATTAAAACAGAAGTAACAACCCCTGCCTCATCTCCACTATTCTTCTCTACCAGCTCAATATGCAGTCCACTATTAGTTTCAGATTCTTTCTGCATCAGTCACTGACCTACACAGAAGACAGTAACAGCAGATGACTTCCGTGG